GTTTGTCTTGTTTTATTTTGAGAACATAATAAACAACAGGAAAGGACAAAGAATAATGTAACAAACACCTGCCTGGAATTGACATTTTTGCTCAGGTATTAAAATATAAACGATGGCAGCGTTAATGGGCGGAGGTGGGTTCCTGTCACGCCTCGGCAGGGCCTTCTCCTTCTTTCGCCCCAGGGAAACTGCGTTTCTTTAATGTGTATCTTCCTAATCTGTTTTCATATGTAACTGCGTATATCTGAACCCATGAATAATAGATCGTCGTGCTGGGTGGGTATTTTAGAGGCATACTTAAACGCTGCCGTGGTGTAATATCATTCTGCAACTTGCTTTCCTTGTTTAACATTACCTTTTCAAGATAGAGCCCTGCTGATATTTTATCTGGTTCAGTTCTTTTCAGTGCCGAGAAGTGTTTCATTGGATGACTGCACCATGGTCTAGTTATCTGGTCCACTGTTAATGGACACTTGGTGGTTTCTGCTTTTTCTACATTTTGAGAACATCGCCACAAATGTCTTTGTGCCCATCTCCTGACACAGACGTGCCCAGGCAGCTTGCAGGCCTCCTGGCCACGTGCAAGGAGGCCCAGACCCACCCCTTTGAGCTCCCGTGGGTGTCCTTGAGCTTCGCCGTCCAAACCAGCTGCCTTCTTCCCTCCACGGCGCTCTGAGCACAGCAGAGTTCTAGGGAGACTCGACAGCGGTGAAGCCAGGGCATGGTTGGTCTTGTCACCCCACCTCACCCCTGCTGCCCTTTGCTTCTGGTTTGGTTTTTATTTTATGTTAATACAGTTCTCATAACACCATTTAAGGAAAACTCAAACGCGTCTCTCTTACATTCCTGCCTCACTAGCACCACTGTTAGCACTTTCGGAGCCCCTTTTGGTCTCTGTCCGCGTGCACCCTTATCCATAGTTGTAATTGTGCACGTAGCATTGTGTAGCCTGTATTTTCTGTGTAACAATGTATTACAAACACTATGCATCTTGCCACAGTCTTCATAATGACCATTTTGTGGTTGCATAATAATACCCTGCCCTCGCGCCCTAACCTGCCCTTCCTGTCCCAGGCTTTGCTTTCCTCCCGTTCTCTGGTCTTTGAGCGATTGCCCCCAGCCCCTCACATCGTGTTGCCGTCTAGAAACACAGAAAGCAAGCTCTCTGGGCTGCAGCCTGCCCGGCTTCTGTGCCCAGATGCTCCAGCCACTGCTACCTCCTTTTCAACTCCCTCTCCCTTGGCAGTAGAAAAGCAACCAAACTAAATGATGGGATAGTCTCCGTACCCGTGGCTTGGAGATTGTTTTCAATACAAAGAGGCTCCTCCCTGGAGGAAACCATTTGGAGGGGCTTCTTGGGCTTGATCTTTCTCCTCTAGGTTTGGAGGGAGACGGTCATGGTGGTTCTTAGGCACTGCTTGTGGTTCACACAGCTCTTGGGGCAGAGGCTGGGCTGGAGCCCTCTGGAGGAGCGTGGAGTGGCTGGGCCACGCCGGGAAGTCAAGCTTAGGATGGTGCGAGTGAAAGACCCCAGCCCCAGGCAGACAGCACGCGGCGCTGACACTGCCTGTGTTCTGTGTCTGCAGCTGACTCCCTCCAGCCAGCATGGAGGTTTCTGTTTCTCCTCCTGGAGTGAGGCCCCGTCTTCTGTACCGCTGCCTTCTCATGAGCCAAATAATCAACTCAGGATGATCAGAAGTAGCGATTAACTTGTTTATAACGAGACCTAATATTTATGGTGTACTTAGTGTGTACCAGATACTCTGCTAAAAAGCATTGTGTACTTGTCATCTCATTTATTCCTCACACAAACCAAATGAGATGGGGAACTGTCACAGCCCCGTTTGCCGGCCGGGGAGTGAGCTCCGATAACTCAGGCGCTTGCCCAGATCCTCCCCAGCCGCCCCAGCTGGGAACGACGTGTAAGTGGAGCAGGGATGAGTTGCTCCTTTGCATTCCCTCCAGAGAAGCCCCTTGCTGGTGTGGAAGTTATTTCGTTAAAAGGCATCGATTAGAAATGTTGCGTTCCCTTTACATTTCCCATCAGAGGCTTTGCCCTATTTTTTCCTTGGAAGTCGCTGCTTCAAGGGAGGGGAAGCAGGGAATTCACGGTGGGGGAGGAAAGGCAGGAGCGGAGCGGAGGCTCAGCCTCCTTCCCTGCAGCCTTGGGGAGGGAGAGAAGAGGGCGATGGGTGGAGCAGCAGCCTGTAGATGCGGGACCTTCCTATGCCCTTGCCAGAGTCCCCAGCCCCGGTGCGGGGAGCACCCCACCCTCCGGTGGCCCAGTGGAAAGAACAGCTGCTTTTACAACAGGCAGTGCCGGGGTCCTGTCCCAGCTTGGCCACTCACTGGCGGTACCTCCTGCAACCACGTGCTATGAGGATTCAGGACGGAGTGGGGTAGTTAGTGTCTGTCATGCCTGGGACAGAGCAAATGCACCAGAGATGCCAGCTTCTCCTCTCCTGCCCACTGGTCCATCCTGGGGAGAAGCATGCACGTAGGGCTCTCGGGCCAAGCTGACCGAGATCCGGTGATGGGAAGGGCCCGGCACAGTGGTTAGAGTCTTCACCGTCCACATGCCAGAAATGGGCTTTTCCAGGCTGAGGTCTGACTTGGTTACAGTCACATGCACCTGTTATCTTGGGCTTCCGTGCTCAAAGCACCGAATACAAGCAGGGCCTGCGTTCCCATAGTCATAGGGAAGCGGGGGAGACCCGGGGACGCCTCTGCAGCCAGCTGGGGGCCCTGGGTCCTTGCCGCGCTGTCCCGGACCTCACAGGCATGGACTCGAGACAGGCTGCAGCCATGGTAACAAAGGAGGTCCTTTAGAGTAGTCCTCGGAGAAACTGAGGCACTGAACCAGAAAGGAGACTTATTTGTCTTCAGATTTTATTTTTTCCTCCCTTCTCTGTCCTCTGTGCCTGCTTGCCCTCTGCAGAGCAACTCAACAGCCTACGTCTGGGCTGCAAACAGGCCAGCGGCTGTCTAATCATAGCAGTGGGCAGGCCCTATTTTAACCCAACACTTGTAATTGCCCAATTTAAGAAATATACTGCTTCTCTGATTAAAGGACTTTGCCAGAGCATTTGTGACACAGGGCATGGCGATGGGAGGCACCCTTTGCAGCCTGCTGTGGGCCCAGCCCCAGCCCTGGGCACGGCTGCTGACTCAAAGCCCAGCCCAGTCCTCAGGGATGGGGACAGACCCAGGCCTCCAGGGGAGAATGTGCAGCCGTGAGCATGAGGCTGGAAACCCCGTCTCCTGTGCTGCAACACACCACCTCCCCAGAGGCCTGGACAGCTCCGGGCGCATCTCAGAGCCCGTGGGAACTGGCGCGGTGCTGTGGGCACGCTGTCCTCCAGCGCCCGTTCCTCCCTGGGCCTGTTTCCCAACACGCCCGGCCGCTGCTTCTAATAGGCGCCAACATAATGGATTCGTTTTTGCCTTTTGAAGACAAGCCCACCACCACATGCACGCTGCACCGACTGTCATGACAGGTTAAAAAACACCAGGGCCATATTTCTAGTACCTTGGTGTACCCCCCGCGGAGAAGTGAAATGTCAGCGGAGCAAATTACGACTGAATGCATTGGAATCTATAAATATTAAATCGCTCTGGCTTCCATTCTCCTGGGTACAGTTAAAGCTCTGGTCAGCTCCAGAGGACAGGCTCTGGGTAGTGTGAGGTGGGGACGGAGAGGCAAGTGTCTCCAGAGGGCAGGGCCGAGGCTGACTCTGTGGACTGTGGTCGGTGGGGGGTGGCCCTGGCTGGAGGAGGAGGAGGAGGAGGAGGAGGAGGAGGAGGAGTGGGTGCAAAGAGCAGGGAACTGGAAAACCCAAATGCAACTGTAACCCAGGGTGGGGTTGCTCTGATTTTTCATTTGCAGCTTCATGGGGGGAGGAGGGTTGTTCGGAGCTTTGGGTTGCATTTCTCAGCCCAGCCCAGGACTCTTATGTGAGGGCGACAGCGTTGCCATCAGCGTGCTCCCTCTAGGGACTGCCCTCTTCAGAGTGGGTATTGGAACTTCCCAGGCTGCAGGGCAGGAGTTGGGGGCCAGCTGTCCTCCTGCCCCGGGCTCCTCCTGACACAGGCTGCTGTGTGTGTGTGGACTCCCATGGCATGTTGGTTTGTGTCGGCCGTGCCTCTGTGTGCTGCCTGGGAGCGTGTTTGTACACTCAGTCAGGCTGACTCCTGGCAGGTGAGGGCAGTGTGTCCGCCTTCTTAGGGATCTGTTTAGGATTTATTGACTGCTTCCATGTGCCAGGCCCTCTATGAAGCTCTTTATTTACTTATTTTAATAATTTATTGATTTTTAGAGAGGAAAGGAGAGGAAGAGAATCATCTATGTGAGAGTGCAACATTGATTGGCTTCCTCCTGCATGTCCCCTACCAGGGATCAGGCCCGCAACCTGGGCATGTACCCCGACCAGGAATCGAACCAGTGACCTTTTGGTGTCACACCAGCCAGGGCATGAAGTTCCCCCTCTCTCTCCATATATATATATATTTTTAATCCTCATCCAAGGATACTTTTACATCGATTTTCAGATAGAGTGGGAGGGAAGGAGGAGGGGAGAAAGAAACATCTATGTGAGAGACACATTGACTGGCTGCCTCCCACACAACCCCACCAGGGCCAGGGATCAAACCGAAACTGAGGTACGTGCCCTTGACTGGAATTGAACCCTCAACTCTTCAGTCCTCTGGCCAACGCTCCCACCACTGAGTCAAACCGGAAGGGGCGGGGCATGAAGTTCTTTAAATATACGACTCATTGATCTTAACACAGTGGAATAAGGGGGGAACGGCGGGATACCCACCACGTAGCCCAGAGAGGGGAAGGGACGTGCGCACCTAACATTCTGCGGTTTCCATCCCAGAGCCTTCCTGCTGTCACTCCTGAGCCTGCGCCTTGCCGGGGTCGCCGGTGAACTCTGAGTGGGCGCTGACCCCTCCTGCCGGAGCCCGTGGCCGAGCCGCTCTCTCCCTCTCTCTTGCAGGCATCCCCACCCTCATCGTGCTGGACCCGCAGGGGGAGGTGATCACGCGGCAGGGGCGGGTGGAGGTGCTGAACGATGAGGACTGCCGGGAGTTCCCGTGGCACCCCAAGCCCGTGCTGGAGCTGTCGGACTCCAACGCGGTGCAGCTCAACGAGGGCCCCTGCCTTGTCCTTTTTGTAGGTATGAAGCTCAGGGGGCGGGGCCCAGGGTGGGCGGGACAGGACCGACTTCCTGTGGGGAATGTCCATCCCTAGAGCTTCTTTCTGTCACAGAACAATGCAGAGCCTGGGCCTTTGTCTCTCCCCGCAGCCTTGCTTTTGACCCCAATGATTTATTCACGGCTCTCCCCCGTAGGAGGTGTTCTGGGAGCTCTGCTGTGCTTTCCTTCCTGGCTGCTCCCCCAGCCAGCTGGAAAGAGCAGGTCAGGCAGGCGATGCCCTGGCCCCCACCCGGGACAGACCCTCTGTGGGACGGAGGCGGGCCTGCACCACAGCAGCTGCAGGGGCTGGGCCCCCTGGGCTCGGGCTCCCCGGGCTGCTGCTTCCCCTCACCTGTGTTCCGACCAGCGGGCCCCAGGGGCCGCCGGAGCTCTCCCGGCCTCAGGTGGCATCTCTGTGGCCAGCTGCCCCCTCTGTCTCCCTTCTGGCTCGCTGTGGCGCTCGGTGGGCGACTGCAGTGAGAGGCAGGATGGCACAGGACAGTTAACTCTTGGCCCCCTGCAGCCCGTGGGATGATTGATGCCTTTTGCAAACAGCAGCTGCTGCCCAGGGTCCACCTCTGCCTTGGGACTTGCTCGGCTCCAGCTCACAGTCACTTTGGGAACTAGGAACGTGGCTGCGATGCTGCCACACCCACTTCAGTGAGGCGGGCTTGGGGATATGTGCACCCGTGCACCCCCATTCTGTGGAGGTCTGGTTTTGGAGACCCCCGGGGAAGAGGGGCAGTATGCAGGCTTAGGGAATTCTTAAGGAAACTGGGGTCCAAGTGTGGCCGCTCCTGGAGGTAAGGGATGCCCCATAGGGGGCCTGGTTGGATGGTCTCGGCCTCCCAGTGGGGTCTGGCTGTCTGGCTGTTAGCTGCGCCTCCCATGGCCACCAAAGCTGCTGACCAGACCACAGTTCCACCCACACCACCACCTTTGCCATTTTCATTAGGAAGTCAGTGATGGAGGTCATGGCATCTCATTCTGTGATTGAGAAAAAAATCTACCTGGGACCTCAGGTCCTGGCTTAGGGGAAGCTTAGCTTCCAAGGTGGGTTTGTGAAGAAATCAGTGAAGAGGATCCTGTTTGCTTGGGGCATTAGTGCTACTCAGCGAGGTGGGTTGTTCCTGGGAAGCCTGATGCAGGAGAGCACTGTGTGCGCCAGTGTGTATGCGAGACCCACCCGCGTGCACCCAGAGGCAAGGCCTGTGTCCCCAGGGAAGCTCTTGTTCCATTCAGGGGCTGCCCAGATGGGCGCCGCAGGCCCTGGACACAGGCACCCTGAGGGGACACCACTTTTTGACAAGCCACTGTGTTCCTGCCTTTCTGCCCCCATCACAGATTCTGAGGATGATGGGGAGTCCGAGGCGGCCAAGCAGCTGATCCAGCCGATAGCTGAGAAGATCATCGCCAAGTACAAAGCCAAAGAGGAGGAGGCGCCGCTGCTGTTCTTCGTGGCGGGGGAGGTGAGTGCCGCCCAGGCCAGACCAGGAGCCGACTCTTAGAACGTGAATGATAGACTTTTGGGATGTTTAGGGGGGCCCTGGGGTCCGGGCTGACTGTGCTTCTGGAGGAGGCCACAGACACGTGTGGCGTGAGAAGGTGTCATCGTCTGTCATGGAAAACCACTGCCTGCCTTTGCTGTTTCCGCCTTCCACCGTCCTCCGGCATGTGCTGCTGGGGAGTGGCCGCCACCAAGGTCAACATTCACGCCCTTGGGGCTGGTGCTTTGCAGCGCGTCTGCTGGGGCAGCCCCTCCTCACGGACCTGCCAAGTGGGCTTTTCCGGTGACAGGGATTCTGCCCGGACCACAGCTCCGACCTGAGTTCGAACCCCAGCCATCCAGGGAGGGCGCTAAGCTTGGAAACTGCTGACATCCCCATCTGTCACTCGGGGCCTGTCCCGTGGAGCTGGGCTGGACGGAGCAGAGGACTTCCCGCAGGGTGGGGAGGCGGGGCCCTTCAGCTGGGCCACCTCCGGCAGGCGCCTGCCTCCCCAAGGGGTAGGAGCGGCGGCCCCCAGGAGCCATCCTCTGCGCATGCTCCACGGCCTCCCTACCCAGCCAGGCGCCAGCTGTAAGCGGTTGGCAGACACATTTTTATGAATCCCCCTGCCCTCCTCCCACCCATCTGTACCTCCGGTTGGTCGGAGCCCTGTGCTCATTTCTCGCTGTGTTCGGATCCCAGGAGAGGCAGCGGTGGACAGACACCCCGAACCAGCACCCATCATCACATCCTCAGTAGCTTCCCTCGCTAAGCCCTGCTGGGCCCCTTGCAGGCAGCTGAACTCCCCCTGCCCTGCCGTGGGGTGCAGGGAACAAAGCGGGTTCACGGGCTAGCGAGCCCACGCCACACAAAGCACAAATGGCGGCTGCTGTGAATTTATTAAACTCCAACCCCTTTCAAATGGCTCTGCGAGAACATGGGTGCAGAACAGAAAGGGCTGGGGCAGGGGTGGGGCTGGAGGGCTCCAGGAAGTAGAAATGTGGCTGAAAAGGAGCACTTGCAGGTTTCCTACGTAACCAGGCACCAAGCCAAGTGCTTCCCCTGCACTGTCCCTTTGGTCCCCACCTGTCTGGCCAGGATGTAGTCATTACCTTCTCGCAGATGAGAGCCAGGTGTGGAGGGGCCGAGACTGCTGCAGTCGGGGCCGCGAGGCCGTGTGCTGGCTGGCTCCCCGCCTCACCCAGCCCCTGTGAGCTGCTGTTACACCCACTTTAAGGCTGGGAGACCTGGGCTCAGAGAAATGACTTGCCAAAGTCACACATTAGGTAGGTAGCAGAGAGGGGTGAGCGTGAGGCTGGTGTGACTTCAGAGGGAGTGTCCTGCTCTTGTCCCTGTCCTCCGGCAGGTAGGCTGACCCACCAGGGAAGGCTGCTGGGACCAGAGTTGGACAGAGGAGCTTGTCACTCACTGCTCCAGTTCCCTACCTGGCTGCCCCATCCTTCCTGTCCGTTCCACCTGAGCTCCTGGCCTTGGCGACTCTCATGGTCCAGTTCTCCGGCGCGCTCAGCAGCGAGGCGGGGGAACGAGGATGGGCGCAGGGCACTGGACATCAGGCACTGGCTGAGCACCCCTGAGCTCAGGACCCTGGCCCTCTCACATTCCACCGGGGGCTCAGGGGGTCCCTGGTTTGTCTTGACTCTGTCCCGCTGGCAGGCAAAAGTCATCCCTTCTGAAGCCTTAATAGACATTAAAATCCATCTCCCTGTGGCTGCTCAGAGGGAGATGGGAGGGGAGGCACTGGGAATTCGATGTATAGTATTTGCCAAGGTGTCTTCCTGCTGTTTATCGTGAAGGTTGTTTGTTTACCTATACAGAGGGTCTCTCTTGGGTAAACAGCACCTGAGATGTTGGATCACCCAGCAGTGCTGGGAAGTGTAGTAGGAAAAAAAGACGATTACTAATAATCTTCCTAAAGATCTGCCTTTTGAGGAAGGAATTTTTTTTTTTTTCTGGTCTCAGAAACTGGTGAGCTGTAAATTTCATGCCTCTTACATGCCAGTATTTAAAGCCAGGAATAGCCCTTTCTCGGCAGGGTGACTCGGATCTTTTCATTCAGTTTAGAATATTGTATATTTTATAGTGAGGCAGCCTCGAGTCCGTTTTCTGTTACCTGCCAGATGAGGTCAGCAGCGTCAAAGGTAATCCCAAATGATTAGTCTTTTTCAGTCTTACTCCTTGTCTTTGGATTTCTGTGTTTGTCTTTATACTTAATAAGGCTACATCTGATATTAGAGAAATTCTCCTGGACAGTCCCTGGGAACATGTGCTAAAGGGCCAGCTTCCTGCTCAGATAAATACATCAACCCATGTCAACTTCAGTATTGTTTCTGTAGCCCTGTCTTCCCAGCTGGTTCTGTGACACCTGCCCCCGAAACCTCAGGGTGGGGCGGGCAGTTCTGTTTAAACCCAGTCAGAGCCGAAGTTCAGACTGGCCTCGGGTAATCCACGGCGGGGCCACCAGGGATTGAGAGTTGATTGGAAAAGTAAGTAATCGAAGGATTTCACATTTTTGCAAAGCAGAGGACCCGTGAAAGTTGCTTTCATACTAACAAAGAAGGAAGACTTGCCTGGGGGATTGGGTGATGCAAGAGAATCTTGTGAACCAGGCTCCCCCTCTGCAAGGCAGGGCAGGGTCCACTGCTCCCCATTCTGAGAGCCCATCCTTCCTGGAAGGGGCTGCTCCTCAGGGTGAGGATGGAGTGGTTCCATTCCACGCTGTCTGGGGAGCCTGGGCCCAGGGGACTCTCTACTCTTTCTTGAAAACTTACGGGTTCTCTCTCCCTTCTGGTGACTTCCAGGATGACATGACCGACTCCCTGCGAGATTATACCAACCTGCCCGAGGCTGCCCCTTTGCTCACCATACTGGACATGTCGGCCCGGGCCAAGTACGTGATGGACGTGGAGGAGATCACCCCTGCCATTGTGGAGGCCTTTGTGAATGACTTCCTAGCAGAAAAGCTCAAACCAGAGCCCATCTAGTGGGGCTCCGGCCTCATGAGACGTTATTTAAAACTCAGTCTCCTCCTCTTCCTCCTCCTCCTCTTCCTCCTCCTTTTCCTTCCCTCCGCCCATGGACTTTTCCAGCGTGTCCTGAATCACACAACCCAAGTGTCCAACCTCTCTGTGGTGCCTTGTTTTCTGCATTAACTCCTCAGCCAGCACCCTAGGGTGCGCATCCTCTCAGCAGCAGAAGAACCCACCATGTCTGGAGACTCTGCTGGGGACTCACGGGGCTGCGTCACCGTCTGTCACCAGCTCTTGGTGAAGGCCTGCCAGGCGCTCCGCCGAGTGAGCGTGGAGGGACAGGTGCCCTGGCTCCCAGTGCAGTGAAGCAGGTGGGGCAGGGAGAGGGCCGCCTCCTTAGGCCTCAGCTTAGAGCTTCTGGTGAGAAATTTTTTTCTAGGTGACTCAGTCTGTGTTGGTCTGAGGGGAAACACTAGCTTGTCTTTTGGTTCTTGGGAAGGGAATCTCAGATCTCAAAGGAAGCTTGTGTTCTTTTCTGGTGAGAAAAAAAATAGCTACGGTAATGATTCAAGTAGTAACTGCTTCATTTCATTGAGCTCTTACCACGGGCTAAGAGCTCTCCTTCCTCATCTCTCTCTCTGCCTCGCTCTTGATGTTCTCGAAGTTTCTGTCTTCTCATATGAACAGCCCCCACTAGCTTGGAATTTTGTTAATACATTCTTCCCCGTGGACATCTTCCCAAGATGCACTTGGCCCTGGTTCTGAGGGGAGCACCGCCTGGCCAGTGCAGACCTGCCACTCAGCCCGGCTCTGGGCCCGGGACCACTGGAGCTCTGCCGAGGTGCCGGGCCCACCTCTGGTTACCCCGTCATTTCCTTTTCTTTTCAAAGTAGAACTAAAAAGAGACAAATTACCAGAAGCCTAGCTTTTTCCGAAGAACCTGCGAAAACTGCCCTATGGTGGGAGTGAGGGCAGAGGACATGACGAAGAGTAGGCCGTGGACCCACTTTGCTGGACCCTGGTAGCCCGGCTCCTTGCTTGGACTGAACTGACTACACAAAGGAGAATAACGTGTGTGCTTAGGATTTGGGGTGGAGGGCTTTGCTAGGGACTCGCAGGGTTTCGGCCTCTCTCAACCAGACGCCAGGGTCTTTAAAGCAACTGCAGGCCTCTCTCTCCCTTGGCCCCATTCACAGCACTCTGCCAACCAAGACCGTTTATTTGGCAAACCCAGCCCCCAGTTAGCTGTAACACCATTGCTCCTTTCCGAATTGGATTGTTGATTTGTAGTTCAGAGGTACAAAATTAGTTGGTAATTAAACTGTTACTGGATGTCACCAGCCTGGAATGCAATCACCTAGTGAGAAATAAAGCGGGCATCTCTGGACGTTATCAACCACTTGGCCTTTCCTGTCCTTAATAACAGATCTTTCTGCTTGTGGTGCTGTGCCCTCGTAGGAGGAGGTGGGCAGTGGGGGATGGGACATAGGGGATCCTCTTGACTTTCACTGGATTCCCGTAGCCGTGTGTGAGAATTGTCAAGAACCCCGAGACCTCACGTGGTCTTCCAGCAGATCTTCCAGAAGCCAGGAAGCTCGTTTGGACTAGAGCGCCAGAGGCAGGTCCTTGCTGGAGGTTTGGCTACCATCTCTCCTGGTTCAGCTCACTCTTGCAGGAGGTGGATTCTCTGCTTCCACATCCTTGTGGACATTCGGGCTCATTCCCTCCTATAGAGGAGCAGGTGCTCTGAAGCTGGAGAAGTCCACGTGGGGAAATGCAAGGAGCCCCGCACATGTCTCCCTGTGATGAACGGGGCCATCGGAGACCCTCAAATCTAGCTCTGTCTTAGGGCTGGGGTTTCTCTGGGAACCCTGCCAGTGTCTCCCTTGGGGGGTGGGGACAATTGAGGTTCACCTCACTTGGAAGATGGGCAAGATTTCTGTCTGCACCCTGTATCATTATCTTCTGGGGTGGCAGGAATAAAATCCAGTGAGACGTCCCTGGAAGTCATCGCGGCAGAAACATTAGGTCACCTGTGGTCCTTGTATGGCCCATACAGGGCTGACTGGACTACCTGCCACGAATGTCAGCTGGTTCTGTGATGCCGGAGTTCCCGTGAGAGTGGGTGTGCAGGTTAGTTAAGATCAGTGGGAAGCTTCACTAAAAAGGTGTATTCGGTTCGTATAATGGCGACCTCAGGGGGGACGTGCTGGGGGAGGAGCGCTTGGCCAGTCCAGTGAAATAATCTGTCTTGATAGTGCAAGATTGCTTAACGGTTATTGGTGCAGACGAAGTGGGTGGCTTCTTAATTTCCACTAAGCACCTCCAAAATACCTTACAATTCTTGTTGCTAATTGGAAGCAGGTTAAAACCCCAGCTGTGGCATACTCAGGGGTTTCCGACAGCAGCTAAGGAAGCCACGCTCTGCAGCTTGAGGCAGCATGGTGGTTGTAAAAATGCCACCCTGGGCTTCCAGATTTGTGTTCACCACAATGACTTCCAGATTTGACTCTGCCAGTTTGCACAACAGAGATGAGGGTTTGTTGTGTGTGTTGTTTTTGTTTTAAACCTGTCCCCAACAATAAAGATCTGCTTGTTTGGGATTGGCATTACAATGGCCAGCTGCAGATGCCAGAGGGCGACTGAAAACCAGCTTCCTTTGCCCCCCTCCTCGTGGGTCCTCTTAATCAGTGGCACTCACTAATCCGAGCACAGGGAGCCAGTACTGTTTTTTTGGCATCAGCCAAGCTTCAAGTGGTAATTTTCAGCCAGACTTTGTTTTTTCCTGTTGCCTAATTAAAGACACTGAAAAGCTGTTCTCTCCTCCTGCTGCCTTTTTCCAGGGCAGCAAAATGAATTCTGCAGTGATGTGAAGACGTAGTAGGTTATGGTCCAGCAACAGATCCAGCGGATCCAACAAGCTGTTGCTCCATCACCTGAGGGAGAAAAACCACACGTGCGCATGCACGTGCGGAATGGCTGTACACGTGAATGATAGTGCTGGGGGTGACCTGCGCGAGCGTCTGGTCATGCAGGCACGGGCGTGCACACATTCTGTTCCCTGGGTTTGCCCTGGTTAGCCTGGGCAGGCCCATGCTTGCCTGAAAGGACCGGGATGCTGCCGAAGTACAGGTTGTGAGGAGGCTCAGCCGTGCGCTCTGCAGCTTCTTTCTGGGTACCTGTGTGTGAACCAGGGACTGACGGGGCCCAGGCTCAGGAGGAGCTTTCAGATTCGCTCCGAAGCGGCTCAGTTGAAGTGAGCACTTGGCCTCCAGCCCTCTTTGCTGATACCAACAGGGACAAGAGCACCTCCTGCTTTCCTCCAGGCAGGCTGCTCAAGGGAAAATGCTTTGGGGACAAATAACTGTTGTTTATTAGCTTCATTATTGGTGCTATTGGTGCATGTGCAAAGGGTGAAATATTTCCCAGGAAACAAAAGGCTTGTATGGCCCTGGCCGGTTTGGTTCAGCGGTTAGAGTGTCGGCCTGCGGTCCAGAGAGACCCGGGTTCGGTTCCCGCTAAGGGCACGTACCTTGGTTGCAGTTTGTCCCCGGCCCTGGTTGGTCGTGTGGTGGCAGCCACTCGATGTGTCCCTTTCATGTCGATGCCCCCCCCCTTCTATCTGACAAAATATGGACAAATGCCCTCGGGTGAGAATTTAAAAAAAAAAAAAGGGGCCTTGTATGTAGGGAAATTTTATATTGGATCTGCTTTACAGCTAGGGCTTCTCCCACTGGGGCAAATAGGATCTTAGGATGTTCTACACACACCTTATATGTGAAGGTATGAGGTAGATATGCTTCATTTTCGAGACATAAGTATGTCTCACCCCCTTGGTGTTCGGAGTACTTCCCACGGCAGGAAATGTGTTGTTAAATTTGAGTAGGATTGTTTGGAGGGACTGCTAGCTTTCTATTCGATAACGTGCCAAGGCCGGTAGGCCAGTGGGAAGCCCAAAGGAGACGGGCAGCCTCGAGTCTGGATTTGTGGGTGCTCATGCCTCACACACATAAGTCGCCACAGGGACTAGAATTAGGATACAGCAGGAGGCAGGGGTCAGGACCAGGGCCATAAATCTCCTCTGGACGCCCGAGGCCACGGGAGTGCCCGACCAATCGAGCCGCTCTGCAGGTTGCAGTGCCAGGGAGGCTTGGACGCCAGGCCCGCTGCAGCCATGTCACCAAGTGGTGACTCCAACCTTTGTTCCCTTCGTGCATTTTGAGGAAGCAGCAGCTCTGGTGATGGCCCTTTCCAGCTATGAGGCTTCCACTGAGAAAAGTAGCTAGCTCTTCCCTACAAACAAGAACAGAACTGATAACCATCCTCAGCGTGTTCAGATTTCCAGTCTTGCTTGAACTTGGAGCAGCGGCTCAGCCTCAGCCTCCTGGGGCTGTCAGAGAGCTGGGCTCGCAGCTGCTTCCCCCGCGGCTCCGGTGAAACGCGCAACCTCGTTCAGAGACTAAGCCAGTCATGGGCTCACCCATTAATTTGGTTTTTAGCTTATGACCTTTGTGTATTAATTGATGAAGAGAGACAGAAATAAGATTGACGTTTAAAGGTGTCTACATGAGTGTTTCCTTAAAAAAAAAAGTAAAAGGTGAGCCAGTCAGGTCTGCTCCTGCAAGACGGCAGAGGTGGCTTGGCCAAGAGGGGAGCCCTGGGCCCTGCAGGGTAGCCAGGGATTTTCCACAGGATCTAGGGGACCCTGGCTGGATGTTCTGGGGGGCTTTGGTGGCAGAAAGTCAAAAGTTGAGTTAAATGCAGCTCAGCTTGGATGGTGATGACATCTGGTGTTGCTGTTAACCCTGGGGCAAGTGGTAGGTCCCAGGGGAACCAGTCCCGAGGTCTGTTCATCCTCTGGGCCTTCCTATGGAGAGCAGCTGTGACTGGGGAGGGAAAAAGGTTTCAGCTCCCCCTGCCCCGAAGCTCCTGGCCAGTGGCAAGGCCGTGGGTTCCCAGTGTGGCGTGGGGACATCAGCATTTGCCTAAAGCTGCTTTCTCAGAAGCTCCTTTCAAAGGGAAAAGTGCGAGGTTTTTTGTTTTGCTGTGACCACTTCTCATTTTTATACATTTTTCTCCTTAGTTTTTGGTCCACTGTCCTCCTACACTTCACATTCTGCCCAGAGAATGAGTGATAATCTGGATGAGTCTCCAACTTCCACCTCTAAGCTCAAATGGCTTGTGCCCTGGCCAGTTCGGCTCAGCAGTTAGAGCGTTGGCCCGTGGACCAGTCGCAGTTTCAATTCCTGCCAAGGGCATGTACCTCGGTTTCAGTTTGTCCCCGGCCCTGGTTGGGGTTGTGCAGGAGGCAACCAGTCGATGTGTCCCTCTCACGATGATGTTTCTCTCTCTCTCTCCCTCCCTTCAGATAGAGTGGGAACTCTATCTGAAGATAAATGGAAAAATATCCTTGGGTGAGGATTAAAAAGACAAACAAAAATGGCTTGCAAACTACCCCATGGTAGAGGGAGACTTTACTTCATCTCAGGGTTGGAAATGGTTTTGAGGTGTGGCTGCCACCTTGTGGCAGAAATCATATTACAGCCACGCTCAGGCACAAAGGCAAGGGGCAGCTAGGCCAACCTTCTCGTTTGTGACAGCTTCTTTCAGGCAAGCAGTATTTTGCTTGTCATATACTGCTCGGTAGTTATTTCCTGGGGAAATGGTGACAGAACACAGTTGGCCTCAAAATTGAGAATTCAAGATAGCGATTTCCAATATTCCACAAACAAGAACTTCACTTGCTTCCCCTGTAGAAAGGAAAATTCGCCCTTCCGTTCAATTATGCCCACCAAATACAAAAGGAACTCACAAGGCATGGTATATATGCCATTGACCACAAAGTGAAGATGATATAAATTTCATTTCCATCTTATACTCAGGATAAAATAGGCTTAGGATTACTTACCAGGTCTGCTGTTTTGCACAGTGTTGTTTTTTGAACAAGGACAAGGGATAGTTTGTCATTCTTCCATTGATTTTTATTTTGTAACAAAAGTCAGCAGGAAGAGTAACCCAGGAATAGAAACTGCAGACTGGTTTCATGCTGGGGACAAGCTTCCTTTTAGTGACTTGTTTCTTTAGCACTTTTCCAAGGTGTTGAGACACATTCAAATGTCAACAGAGTGGTAGTTTTCTGGGCTGCCTCCGAGGTTTAGCCTGCTGGTGTGATGGGCATTGTGGCTGTGAAGCTGGCAGACTAGACCTTAGCCTTTGTGGGCTCATCTGTTTTATAAAAGCTGATGGCCTTCAGAACAACCTGTGGGACATGTGTGTGGGGTCCGAGGCAGGCCCAGCCCAAAGGGAGGCACCAGAGCAGTCCAGTGAGCCTGGGAGAGCACAACCAACCAGAGGTTGTTCCTGCAGAAACCCCTCCCCTCAGACATGCCAAAGCAATTCCACCCTGCCACTTGGGGCATGAGTCATGCTTGATCTTTTGGTTCTCTTGAGAGAAAGTTTAACCAGGGACCTGGGGGAGCCAAAGGGGAAGAAGTAATGAGGATCAGTTTCTCTTGGGCATGCCAGGAACTCAATCTCCCTGGAATGATCAGCTGAAGGGCTCCCAAGGATCCTAACCATTACAGGTGTCACTGTAGAGAAGGGACGAATTAAAACTACACTGCTAGTGTCACTGTCCTCAACTCCAACCATATTCTCTGTGGCTGCAAAAGCATTGCTTGAACTAGGTCCCAGACTTCAGGCCCACCCACCTTCACATAATGACTTAAAAGAGTGATTACTATCTGCTTTTGCCCTCATGTTCCTGGCTACAGCCCAGCTGGCACCTGGTGAGGATCTAGCTTGCCCTTGTCCCCTGGGGGTTTCACAGAAGTGCAGGGTCTTGCTGCAGTTTTTGTGGGCCTAAGGGTCCCAAGCTCTCATCCTCAGGACCTCAGCCTCTCCCCTTGAAGGAGCTCTCTGTTTACACCGCAGCCAGGAATGTTGGCATTTTCCTAAGCAGTCCTGTTCCTCCACACAGGAGAGAGGATTAATGTAAATAAGTAACTCCAGTCATTACATTTAATCAAGTGTTATATAAAGTAGGGCTAACAGCAGGAAGCAAGTAAAAAGGGTAAGGCTTTCCTGCCGGATGCAGGATTAAGCTGGAGATTTTAAGACTGTTTTCTCCTTTTCTGAACAGAGTCCTCAAAAAAGATTATCTGTAGCCCTGGGTGATTTTTCTCAGTGGTTAGAGCATTGGCCCCTGGACTGAAGGGTCTCAGGTTCAATTCCCAGTTAGGAGCATGTATTTGGGTTGCAGGTTCAATCCCCAGCCCGTCAGGGTCATGCAGGAGGCAATCAAATGATGTATCTCTCACATTGATGTTTCCACTCTATCCAAAAATCAATGAAAAATATCCTCAGGTAAGGATTAACCAAAAAAAAAAAAAAAAAGATAATCTGCAGAGGTGCTAAGAAGGTGTAAATACAACTCAACAAACTATTTCACCAGAACCAGGGGAGATCGTGTTATAGATACACGATGGCTGTTAAAGTGGGGGCCACACAGACGACTGCAGAGACTGGCAGTCAAGGGAAAGAACAGGACTGCTGGCTACGGAATGCCAGCACCTGTAGCCTTCACATATGCATAAAATACCAGGGGCGATGGGAGATCTCGGGAAGAATTTTGACCTTTGTTATTTTTGGTAATAAGCAAAAGTGCAAGGAAATTCTTATTTTTCCAATAACCAACAGCATCATGCCTACCTGCTGGGACCAACATTTACCAGCTCTGCCAGTCTAACAGTGTAGGAGGAGCTGGAGACAACCTCAACCAAGGATAACTTCCATGTCCCCTCTCAGCGGTCACGCCTGTCTCTGCTCAAGTGTTCCACCCTTAAGCGCAGCTGTCTTCTCCCTTCAAAGAGTAGGATGCTGGCAGCCATGGCCGAGTTGAGGCTGTCCACACCCGGCACTACAGGGATCAGCAGCCTCTTGCCCCCTGTGCTCTCAGCCAACTGCAGTGACTCCAGGCTCACGCCATGGGTCTCCCCACCTATGACCACAGCTGCTGGCGCCTCTGTCCAATCCAAATCGTAACTCTGGACCTCAAGTTCAGGGAGCCAGCCTTCACTGGCTCCAGTTTCTAGATCTTCCTCCTCCTCTTCCTCATACTTGTGAAACTTCGAGAGTTGTCGATCACATACCCAACCATGGTCAATGGCTTTACTAGATATCTGGGCCTGGGCATAAAGGCCACAGTTGTCTGCCACATAGACCCGGGTATCATTGGGCAAGTAGTTGGGCACTGTTTCCCAGTCCAGATTGTTGATGATGGGCACCTGGAAATGTGCACCCATACCTGCCCGCAACACTTTGGGCTCCCAGGCATCCACACAGCCTGGAAAATAAAAGACAGGATCCAATTAAGATTATAAACCTTTCCAGACAAGAGGACTTTGGAGTAAACCACATTAATTCTGGATCAGGAGATAAAGCAAAAAATGTCCTACTGCAGCCTTCTTGATACCTGGCACCTTTGCCTTCCCCCATATGGCACTGTCCAGCAAAGGGACTGCAGGAGGAACTCCTGCTCATGCTGAAACAGAATCCATTCATCCCTTCAACATTCACCATACACATCTGCCAGACATTGTACAGGAGATACAAAGAGCATTAAAGTTCCCAACCTCGAGGAGCTCAGGATACAGAAGAAACATGAACGGAGTAACAGAAAACCCTTGTACAAAGCAGGATTATTAGGGGAAAAAAACCCCAGAGAACATAACACTGAGCTGGATCTTGAAGGACAGGAGGATCTTGGAGAAAGGCCCAGGCAAAAGACAAAGTTACAGAAGTGGGGAGAGAGCCACAGTCCAAACACTGTGAGTACGGTAGAGCAGGAAAACTGACGGGTAGGTGTGGTGGGAGATAAGGCAGAAGGCAGGCAAGGACCAATTTAAAGGAAGCCACGTACACTGGGTATGAGTTTAGGATTTTATCTAGAAAACAAGAGACATTGAAGGATTTTAAACAAAGTAGTGACAGAATCTGGTTTATGTTTTAGAAAGACCCATTTGGTCAATGTTGCATTGGTGGAGCAGGGAAAATAGTAGAAAGATGGGGAAATTAGATGGGAAGCAATTATAGTAATCCAGGGAGAACCAAGGCAACAGCCTTGTCATTCCCACACACACCTGCTCTTACAGTAAGAAGGCTAAAAGAACTCCTCTTTTATGTAAAGGCATGTGCTATAGCCCAACCACTCTATGCACTGGCAGACATTTCGCCTTTTCCAGGACCACAGTCTGAAGAGACAGCAGGACCAGAGCACCACCATCCTCCCCTGACTTGTTAGCACAAGCCTCCTCATTACAAGGTATTTTTAAAAGAGGGGCCCAGCCCTGACTGATCTGGCTCAGCAGTTGGAACATCAGCCAGTGGACCGAAGGGACCCGGGTTGGATTCCATGTCAGGGGCATGTACCTGGGTGGCATGTTCGATCCCCAGCCCCAGCTGGGGTTGTGTGGGAGGCAACCAATTAATGCCTCTCTCTCTCTCTCTCTCTCTTCTCCCTCTCCCCTCCTCCTACTCCCTTCCCTTCCTCTTGCCGTTCCCCTCCCTTCCCTTTCCTCTCTCCCTCCCTTCGTTCCACTCTCTCTTAAAAACAAAAAATCGCCCTGGCCGGTTTGGCTCAGCGGTTAGAGCGTTGGCCTGCGGTCCAGAGAGACCCGGGTTCGGTTCCCTCTAAGGGCACGTACCTCGGTTGCAGTTTGTCCCCGGCCCTGGTTGGTCGTGCGGGTGGCAGCCACTCAATGTGTCCCTTCACGTCGATGTCTCTCTCTCTCTCTCTCTCTCTCTCTCTCTCCCTTCCTCCCTCCCTCCCACTCTATCTGAATAAAAAAATGGAAAAATGTCCTCAGATGAGGATTAAAAACAAAACAAAACAATCAATGGAAAGAAATGGTGAGAATTAACCAAAAAAAAAAAAAAGAGGGGCCCAGCCCTGGCTGGTTTGCCTCAGCGGTTACAGTGTTGGCCCTTCTCAGGTTCAATTCCAGTCAAGGGCATGTGCCTCGGTTGTGGTTTGGTCCCTGGACCTGGTCAGGTAACCAATCAATGTGTCTCTTACATGGATGTTTCTTTCTCTTTCTCTCTCTCTCTCCTTCCCTCCCTCCCACTCCATCTGAAGATAAATAAGAGACATATCCTTGGGTGAGGATTTAAAAAAAAAAAGAGGGGCCCAGATTCATGAGGAGAGCTGTCTAGTTGAGCCCTCTACTTGGTGGGGAGTACAGGGTAAGGTGAGACTTCCCCTCACCTTCAATACTGGGCACCACCCCAAGTGCTCCCTACCACTCATACACCAGTCACCAGCATCACTGGGAAAACCATACCACCTGGATTCTGTAGGTACATTTCCAAAACCACACCCGCTTTCAGAGCTCTCACCGGTGTGGCAGGTAAGTGGGTACTGATGATGAAACCCCAGCACCTAACTCTCATGCTGGCAGAGAAATGTACTCGAACGAGTGACTAGGGGAACAGTTAAAAGGAGCAATTTAGGCTGGTCTCAGCAATGGGTGCCAGTACTAGTTTACACTGAGAGGTAACTTCAGTGTTTCTGATGAATGATCCTCTCCCTCCCACCCTCCCCCTAAGTTGTAATAGGCATTTTAGGCTTGTCTGTTTAGAACCAAGCTTACTAATCCCTATTTCTAAGGAGAGAAAACAGAAAAGAAATGTAATGAAGCTAATTTGTGTGGGGGGTGTTTGATTTCTGAGGCTAAGGGAAACATATCACAATTCATAACTGCACTCTGTTGAAATCATTCCTTTCACAGGATTCAGAATGTCAAACAATTAGAATGGTTTCATACACCCAACAATTTGGGGACTCAGGATCATTAAATAAAGGACTTGAAACCAAGTGTTAAAACTGGCATCTACTTCTTTCCCTGATTGATTTTAAGTTCTCTCTTTAATAACCTAGCAGGTATCAAAATAATTTTAAAAGAGCCCTGGCCAGTTTGGCTCAGCGGTTAGAGCGTCAGCCTGCGGTCCGGAGAGACCTGGGTTCGGTTCCCGCTAAGGGCACATACTTCGGTTGCAGTTTGTCCCCGACCCTGGTTGGTCGTGCGGGTGGCAGCCACTCGATGTGTCCCTTCACGTCGATGTTTCTCTCTCTCTCTCTTCCCCTCTCTCCCTCCCACTCTATCTGTACAAAAAAAAAAAAAAAGGAAAAATGTCCTCGGGTGAGGATAAAAAAAAAGAAAATAATTTTAAAAGACAATCAACATTTACTGAATTGCTATATGCCAGGCACAGTGCTAAGCACTATATGTGCATCATGTCACTTAATCCTCAAAACCACCCTACCAGGTAGATTCTGTTATCATACCCACATTACAGATGAGGAAACTGACACAATTACATTACAGATGAGGAAAATATCACTCACAAACATGTAGTTAAATAAGGGGCAGATCCAAAATTCAAATCTAGGTATGTCTACCCATAGAGCCAGCTCACTTACAAATGGCCACCCAGTCCATCCAGTCACATGCACTCTTACCTTTGAGGAGTAATACTTTGCTGCAGCCTGCCCCAGCAGCAGATCTCAGAATCGTCCCCAGGTTCCCAGGATCACGGAGATTGTCACAAATCAATAATAAGGGCAGTGAGTGGCGAAGCTGAGTCTCTGGGAATGTCATCTTAACATGATCAGGTTTGGCAAAAATCCCTGAGGAAATAAAACAGGCAGTTCACTTGCCTAATGTGGACAAAGGGCATAATCTGACTTTTCATTTACTTATCACTTCCTATATTCTTAATTACATGAATACATTCTGATTGAAAGCATTCAAACAGAAAGTCCTAAGAGTGATCCCTCCCCACCATAATCGCTTCCAATCTTGGAGTGTATCCTATCCTTTCAGAACTTGTTCCATGCACCTACCTATAGATATGTACATCTATCCATATATAGGTGCTTTTACTCTTCTACATTAAAAAAAAAATCATCCTCTGCCCAGCCGGTGTAGCTCAGTGATTGAGCATCGACCCATGCACCAAGAGGTCGCCGGTTCGATTCCTGGTCAAGGCACATGCCCAGGTTGTAGGCCCAATCCCCAGTGGGGGGCATGCATGAGGCAGCCAATTGATGCTTTCTCTCATCGATGTTTCTTTCTATCTCTTTCTCCTTCTCCCTTCCTCTCTAAAAATCAATAAAGGAAAAAAAGATTTTTTAAAATACTCTGTATTATTCTGTAACCCACTTATCTAACTCTATAATGTCTCTTGGAGAACTTACCACATCAATACATTTGGAGTTACCTTATTTTAACTGCTGCATGTTATTATTTTGTAACTTGAATGTACCACATTTATTTAACTCTTCCTCAACTGACTGACATCTAGATTATTTTCAATTTTCCCCATTATAAACAACCCTGCAATAAACATCCCTGTATGACTCTTTGTGCATGTCCAAGTATTTCCCTAGGAAAATCACCTATAATTTAAACAAATAGATGGTGCGTGTGCGCTATCATAATTGATATTGCCAAACTGCCGTCCCCAAAAGCTATTCCAATTTATTCACACCAAGAACACATACATACTTGTACCTACCCTATCAATGAAAGCAATGGAATGGTATCAGGCATTTGTGTGCTATAAAAAAAATCCTGCACTTAAGAGTCACAGATAGCCACCAGAGCATTCGGTGGTGTGGGGAACCTTAAAAGTCCTTTAACTTCTGCCTGAACTGCTAAAGTGAGGGGAACTCCCAAATTCTAGCGGCCCCACTTACATTACTGGATTTCAGAAGTCTGACAGGTAGTGCTAGATATTGCCTATTTCTCCCTTTGCCCCCTTCTCAAATCTGAAATAAAAGATAAAAAGGACATGCTAAATAATATATATTTTTAAAAACTATGAAATCACAACAACAGTCATAGTGACAAAGAGGCTATTGAAGTCCAGGATGGGCTAGCCACAGTTAGTACATACTTCCAAAGTGGCAAGCATGGTAAAAATGAGTGATACTTTCACTGTAGCAAGGAGTAATGTTTAGAAGTGTAGCTAATTAAGAGTACTGTTACTTAGAGTGGGTGGAAAACTTTAATAGTTCAAGTCCCCACCCTAGGGGATAGTTCTGAGCACAGAGGCACAGATTCCTGTGACATGCTGGATTACAGAAACAAGGGATAGTCCCCAGAATTTTCTCTCCCAACTAATACCTGCACAGTGAGCCCATTACAGGGGGAACCACAGGCACAACTGGTATAATGGGCCCTGGAATAAACATTAGAATCTTGAAGATAATTCCCCCTGCCCCAACTGTCCCTTACTATCCAAGAGAAACCTCTACACTTACCACCATTCAAGTGTGACGTTAAATATAACTCCAATGTCAAAAAGGTATAAAGAATTTAGTCTTTCCAGATTTAGAAAAAGCTTTCTAAGTACTAACAGACATCACAGTTACATAAAACCTTTAGTTAGATTCAACCAAATGAAGACAAGATTTCCTGTTCAATGGGCTAAATAAGGCAATAATTGTAGCTTACTGCTCAGACTTGCTTCTAGAAAAGAGAGTCAATGATAGGTACCACCACACTGGCAGAGGTTTTGTGGAAGAGGAAGGCTAAATCTTTTGGTAAACATTTCCTTAATTTTTAAACATTAAAGTTTAAAGAAGGGACCTAAAAAACAAAAAAAGATAGCCTTGGCTGGTTTGGCTCAGCAGTTAGCACGTCAGCCCGCAGACCAGAGTTCTGGGTTCAATTTTGACCAAGGGCATGTACCTTGGTTGCAATTCTCCCCGGCCCCAGTTGGGGTAGTGGAGGTGGCAACCAATCGATTCTCTCTCTCTCTTCCTCCCTCCTTCCCTCCTGCTCTATCTGGAGATACATGGAAAAATATCCTCAGGTAAGGATTAAAAAAATAAGATGTGGGGAATAAAGAGCCATAATACAAATGATTATGAAAAACTGGCTGCAGTTTCCACTAAAAATACTGTAAGGTGCATGATTTATATAAGATTTGAGAACCGTATTTTTTTGGGGAATCTTTTTTTCTTTTTTAATCCTCACCTGAGGACATTTTTCCATTTTTTTGTTCAGATAGAGTAGGAGGGGGGGAAGGGGAGAGGGACGGAGGGGGGGGGGGGGAGAGAGAGAGAGAGAGATAAAGAAACATCGACGTGAAAGGGGCACATTGAGTGGCTGCCACCCACAAGACCCAACCAGGGCCCGGGACAAACCACAACCAAGGTACATGCCCTTAGCAGGAACCGAACCCGGGTCTCTGGGGACCGCAGGCCGAGGATCTAACCGCTGAGACAAACCGGCCAGGGCTTTTCTGGGAATCTTAAAAAATAGTTAGGAAATAATATTTTGATTTCGGTTTAAATAAAATGGGTTACCCTAAAACAAGTATAAAAAATAATCCTAGGTCTCTATTTCTAGTGACACACTGTACAACAACTGACCCATTATTCCTTGTGGTGTTACTAGGTCGGACCATTCCTTGATATCCTCAAATTTCACCTTAATGAGGCTGACACCTTTCAGCTTATCAACGGGAAGCTCCTTTAGGTATTCCACCCGGCTAAAGAAGAAAACTTTAGGCACAGCACCAGCCTTGAGAGCGTCTGCGATCAGCCTACGACCTTCCAGCAGAATCTTCCCTTGCTTTTCCCGAAATGGCCTGGATTTAACTATTGTCATTACACTGCTGTGGGTGGAAACAAAAAAGACTGGTTACCAAACATGCCAAATACAGAGATACACCTAGTTCTAACAGAGACAGAAACAAACTTATCCGCGGTAGATACTTGTTCCGCGCTCCGTGCCTAATGAAAACCAGCAGGTGTTCCTGGAGTAAGTCCTCCAACTGGAGGAAAGAGGTCAAGGTTCCGCTGTGAAGCGGGAAGAGAAATACTTTATAAGGTTTAGGAACACACACCTCAGCCTTTTGTCCCCGGGTAAAGCCTTATCGTAGCGAAGCCCAGACTGTTCCCAAGTACTGGGCGTCTGGGATTGGGGCGCCGGAGAGGGCTGCTTCAGTGGCTGCGCGTGGGGGCTGGCCTCAGCCGCCGCCTTCCGGGGCTGCTTCCCCTGGCCGGGCTTCCGGTCCACCACCTGTCCCGACGGAAACACTTTCACGGGGCTCCGCCGCAGCGCCCGGACCCAGCGCCGGGGGTCGAGGTCCCAAGTCTGGAGCACCGGCAGCAACGGTCGCGGGGCCCAACACGCGGTCCTCACCAGGATCGCCATCTTCCCCGGCGCCCTGGGCTGCGTCACGAGCGTGCGCCGGCGGCGCCCAATGACGTCACCGCCTCGGTGGGCGGGACGGCGCTGAGTACGTGACGGTTGTGTGCGTGACGGTTGTGTAGTGGTGGGGTCATGACTGCTCGGAGGGCTCTGCACTTCGTGTTCAAAGTGGGAAACCGCTTCCAGACGGCGAGTTTCTACCGTGATGTCCTGGGGATGAAGGTGCGGACGGGGCCGAGGGGGACTGGCGCGCGAGGGCGGCGCGGCGGCTGAGCCACGCCTGGCCGAGAGAGGAGAGAAATGGGGTTCAGCCAGAACCGGGGTGTCTGACTTCCCGTTGGCCCTGTCGGGTTTCCAGCTTCAGGAAGTTTCGAATCCTCGGGTTAGACGGCCTTTGAAAGAGGGCGCTCGCTTATCAGTCGTCGGCTGTGTGCCCGCACACGTTCTTTCATGTATATTCATTCACAAATATGTATTGAGCTGCGGCCCTTGTGGGGCTTCCAGTCTGGTGGGAAAGACAGTAAATAAAAATCTCAGCGACTAATAACTCAGCCTGCCGGTTTGGAGCCTTTCGGTTTAGATAATCAGCGAGAGCTGTTCGTCTCAGGGGTGGTTTGAGTGGTCTTTTTTGAATACTCCGCCTCTCTGGGTGAATGCTCAGACTCCTCTCAGCAGCCCAGATCTAAGTGTGAAACCAGAACCCGTTCTCTCCAACACCTGGAAGTGGCCTCTGAGTAATGTGATCAGAGCTGCGCTTTAGAGTCCTAGTTTTATGGTCATGTCGATGTAAGAAATGTCCAAACCTGTAGAGAGCTTTTGTTGTAAGTTGATTTGAGCCCAGCTGGTGTGGTTCAGGGAATTGAGCATCGTCCCATGGACTGAGAGGTCCCAGTTAGAGTCCAGTCAGGACACACGCCTGGGTTGTGGGCTCCATCCCCAGTAGGGGGCGTGCAGGAGGCAGCTGATCAATGTTTTTCTCTCACATCAATGTTTCTGTCTCTCTCTCCCTCCCTCTCTCTCTAAAAAAATCAATAAAAACATATTTATAAAAAAAAAAAGTTTAATTCAGCCAAACTGACACATGTCACAATGCTGGGGATGAAGATTTCAGATGCTCCAGAGAATGACAGTTTTGCAGTTTCCTTTATACATTTGGAATGAAGGAGAGAATGTAAGGAAGTACTTGAAGGTGGGAGAAGGCAAGGTGGGGAGTTGGATTACAGGATAGTTAGTTAACAAGATCAAGTTCTCTCTTGAGGATGGTTATGCTTCTGAAGGGTCTTGAAAAGAGGCATTTCAAGGCTGTGTTAATTTAGATGCACAGAAACAATGGACAGTGCTTGCTTAAGGTAAAGATAAACTTTTTACTGAAGAAATTATATGCTTGGGACAGGACTACCCACCATGACCTGCCCAGTTAGAAATTTATGATCAGATCACAATGTGAGGTTATTTTTAGTCACTGAACTTGTCAGATTTATTATAGAGCTCCTCTTTTGTCCACAGTGGTATTAAGGAAGGAGATCAATAAATCTGTGTGTGAAGTGGTGGAAGATTGAACTGGAGCAGTAGCAATGAGAATCAAAAAGGAAAATAGAAACTAACACATTGAGAGTTTACTGCGTACTAGATTCTGTGCTGTAATAAATTATCCATTTTCACAACGTATTAGGAGACCCAGATCTTAAGCAATGGTCTCAGGGTAACACAGCTACTAAGGGACAATGAATCTCTCACACCAGGCTTTTCTAATGCTGAAGGCCACTTAAAAAACAAACAAACAAACAAAAAAACTGTATAGCACAGCTTTTCAATATAAATAGATTTCACAACTTTGCTTGGTTGCCTGGCCCTTGGTATCAAGCTGTTCTTCCTCACTACTTTTAGCCTGAGAAAAATATGAAGCTTATTATCTTGTTTGTTTTATAAGTAAAGCTTACAAATGATTATGTCTGTGTTTTGATTATTTTAGTTTGTACTAAATATGCTGTATGTAGTACAAGCAAAACTTTACAATTTTTTTCTAATTCCCTTACCAGATTCTGCGGCATGAGGAATTTGAAGAAGGCTGCAAAGCTACCTGTAATGGGTATGACACCTTGTTTCTTTTTTTTCTTAATCCTCACTCAAGGATATTTTTCCATTTATCTTCAAATAGAGTGGGAGAGAGAGAGACATTGATGTGACAGAGACACATCAGTTGGTTGCCTCCCACACGATCCCGACCAAGACCAGGCACCAAACTGCAACCAAGGTACATGCCCTTGACCAGAATCAAACCCAAAACTGGTCTGTAGGCCAACCCTGTAACCACTGAGCCAAACCAGCCAGGGTGACACCTTGTTTCTTAAAATCTCCTTTAGGCTCTGAATACCCCTGGAACACAGAAAACAGTTTCTCAAAGTGAATGTAAGGCAGTGGAATAAATTAAGGAGGTAGTCAATTGGGCAGTTTCAGGAACATAAGTCAGTATATGCTATAGATGAAACAATGTCTTATCAAGCATCTTTTTTTCTTTTTTTTTAATTTATTGGGGCGACATTGGTTATCAAGTATCTCTTAAGCTTAGTACCATGGAAAGCTGGGAAATTCCAAGGCCTGGTGGGAATTACATGCTTGTTGATGGATACGCAAAAAAAAAAAAAAAAAGGTCAGCATGGAGGACTGCCTTTCTAGAATTCTCTTTCCTACTTTAAAGAAAAGGTAAATGAATCTTTTCCTCAAGTAAGTGCTAAACAGATGATCTTTGGAGCCTTTGGTGATGGGCCCATGAGCACTGTCCATAATTGCTCTTAATACCAGCAGAGGTCATCTCATCCTTATGGGTACCTAGAGGACCAGAAGAGACTTGCCCACCCCTCTGTCCCAACAGTGTTTTGGTGGTGGGCCTGAGAAAGATTTTGTCTGAGATCATTGGATTAATTTTCTTTTATTTTTCTAGGCCATATGATGGGAAATGGAGCAAAACAATGGTGGGATTTGGACCTGAGGATGATCATTTTGTTGCAGAACTGACTTACAATTATGGTATTGGAAACTACAAGCTTGGCAATGACTTTATGGTAAATATCATTTTCTTCTAGACTTTTGGCTATACCTTTTATTGAGATCACTAATATAGCTGTAGGTATGATGAATGCTGAATTGATGGCCTTTGGATATAGTTTAGTGATTAGTTTTATGATGTTTTCTATTTAAAACAAAACTGCTTGGCCCTGGCCAGTTTTGCTCAGTGGTTAGAGCGTTGGCCTGTGGTCCGGAGAGACCCGGGTTCGGTTCCCGCTAAGGGCACGTACCTCGGTTGCGGTTTGTCCCCGACCCTGGTTGGGTTGTGTGGGTGGCAACTCTCGATGTGTCCCTTTCACACTGATGTTTCTCCCTCTCTCTCTCCCTCCTGCTCTATCTGAACAAAAAATGGAAAAACAAAATTTCCTAGGGTGAGGATAAAAAAAACAACTGCTTGGATACCCTGGCTTCAGAATGAAATGTGTTCTCCCTGTATTTTGGAATCAAACTGAAGACTTAGAGACAACTTTGAAGGAGACGAACACCTCTAAAGTAATGACTGAACCTTGAGAGGTCTGGTCAGGTCCTGAAGACCATCTGAGAAATACTTTCTCTGTAGTTCTGTAGCGGACCGTTAAAATTGGGCTGGGCTATTACCAATCCTAGTCAAAGAAAAATTCGAGAAGGTTTTAAGGATACAGCGTGGGTATTGCTGTCTTAAGAACAGACTGTAGGGTGTGTTTTAGAAAGTTGACTCTGGCCCGGCCAGTGTGGCTCAGTGGTTGAGTATCAGCCCGTGCACCAAGAGGTCGCTGGTTCGATTCCTGGTCAGGGCACATGCCCTGGTTGTGGGCCACATCCCTGGTGGAAAGCATGCAGGAGGTGGCCAATCAATGTTCTCTGTCACTGATGTTTCTCTCTCTCTCTCTCTCTCTCTCTCTCTCTCTCTCAAATCAATAAAGAAAAAAAAAACGAAAAGTTTACTCTGGCTGCAGAGTGGCTGGTGGATTGACAAGACTGGAGGCAGAGAGTAAGGCTGTTGCCATAATCCAAGCTGGCCTTATTAGAAGTCATGAGTAGACATTTTTAGGTATTTTGATTAAATTTAAATTTTAAAATGTCTTATTAATAGTTGGTATAGATATTTTTGTTTAAAAAGCAAAAATAAATTTCTCCAACTAGATCTTTAAAATTAGGAGATACTACCTTTGGTTTTAATTCAATGGCATTTGAATTTCTGTCCCACAATTCACTAAGTTTGGAATCTGTGTAGGAGAAAAATGTCCAAAATCTACTTTAAAATTGCTAGAAGGAAATTTTGAATGCCAAGTAATTCTTGGGTGACTTGGTGTCAACATAAGAAATGCCCAGCCCTGGCCAGTTTGGCTCAGAGGGTCCTGGGTTCAGTTCCCACTAGGGGCACATACCACAAAAAAAAAAGAAATGCCCAAACCTGTAGAGAACGTTTATGAGAGTTTATTTGAGCCAAACTGACTACATTGTCAGGAAACAAGATCTCAAATGCTCTGAAGAATTAGTTTTGCAGTTTTTTTTATACATTTGGAATTAAGGAAGGAATATAAGGAAGATTACATGAAGTGGGGTGGAAAGTAAGGTACAGGATAGTTAACAAGATTATGTGCTCCCTTGAGAGTGGTTACCCCTCTGAGGGGTCTAGGAATCCTTTTGGCATTTCAAAGGCGTGTTAACCTAGATGCACAGAAACAGTGGACAGGGCTTGCTTAAAACCTTTTACTCAAGATGTTATAGGCCTGGAGCATGACTATCCACTATGACTTGCCCCATTAGAAATGTATGATCAAATCACCCTGTGAGATTACTTTCAGTCACTGAACTGGATCAAACCCCCTTAATGTAAAGTTGATGGTGTTTTGTTTCGTTATTGTGTTCCATAGAAGATCTCTGGTGGTTATACACTTGGATGATATTGCTGTTTGTCATAGGGTATCACACTCGCTTCTAGTGAGGCTGTCAGCAATGCCAGGAAGCTGAAGTGGCCACTCAGAGAAGTTGCAGAAGGTGTTTTTGAAACTGAGGCCCCAGGAGGATATAAGTTCTATCTGCAGGATCGAAGTCCACCTCAGTCAGGTAATTATACTAATAGAAGCCCTCTGTCTAAAGCAGTGGTTCTCAACCTTCCTAATGCCGCAACCCTTTAATACAGTTCCTCATGTTGTACGTGGGCGTATCTGCATGTGGGCGGACCCACCTGGAGACAGATAGAGGAGCGTTGTCTCGGTTCCTAAGACCTTCGGAAATATGTTTTCCGATGGTCTTAGGCGACCCCTGTGATAGGGTCGTTCGACCCTTAGGCTGAGAACCGCTGGTCTAAAGGCATCTTTGATGGACGGAGAGAGGGAGCCAGATTTCTTTCTCCTGTGGAGTCTTTCTCTATTGACATAACATGTCTTTCTCAAGCCAGTGTTGTTATTTGTGCCATGAGAAATCATGTACTTGTATGAGGTCTTTATAGTGGATCTAGACTGGTTTTGTTCTACTGGTAATGCTGCTATTTAGGATACTTTTAGCTGCAAATAACAAAACCCAATTCAAACTAGCTTGAACAATAAGAAAATGTTTTGGCTCACAAGGCGTTCTATAGATAGGAAAGATTTCAGCTTTTGTTAATACAGCAGCTCAGCAATGGCATTAAGAACCCAGATCTTGCTCTGGCCGGTTTGGCTCAGCGATTAGAGCGTTGGCCTGCAGTCCTGAGAGACCTGGGTTCGGTTCCCGCTAACGGCACGTACCTCGGTTGCAGTTTGTCTCCGGCCCTGGTCGGTCGTGCGGGTGGCAGCCACTCGATGTGTTCCTTTCACATCGATGTTTCTCTCTCTCTCTCTGTTCCTCTCTCTCCCTCCCACTCTATCTGAACAAAAAATGGAAAAATGTCCTCGGGTGAGGATAAAAAGAAAAGAACCCAGATCTCCTGTTTCTATTCTCTTGTCCGCAGGGGTCCCCTTCTTCTAGAGCTGGTTCCCTGCTTGTGGTAGGGTGGCTGCCAGTAGCAGTTACAGCTATGTGCGCCCACGTTCTCTCCTGGTAAGAGAGGGAGAAACCTACTTCCTGTTGTTCTCTTTTAAGAGCAGAGCAAAACTTTCCTAGAATCTTTCAGCAAACTTCCTGGCCAGATTCAATTCACTTGCAGGCTCATGAACCAGTCGCTGCCAGGAGAAATAGGATTATCCTTAGATCAGTTAATCATATTCTCCCACTGAGGTCAGTTTCCAAACTATAGTGCTGGTGCTCGGTGAGTGAGGGAGGAATGGAAGTGAGGAGCTGCCCACCACACTGCCTGCCACAGGGAGCAGGGAAGAAATTGCATGATGTGTATTTCATATGTGTATTTCATTCTTGCACATTCTGCTACCCGCTCTGCCAAAAGAAAAAAAAGAGTGGTGCGTAGCAAGAGCAATTCTGCCTGTCATTTCACTCAGTGAAATCATACCCCTAAGTGGACCTGAGATGGGAAACTATTTTTTTTTCTCTACTGGTCTGCCTCAAGTCCCAGAATTCCCTCATACCGAGTCTGATTATTGTGTTGAATGTTACTTGCTTTTCACCTGGTGTTCCAGTGTGGGACTGGCACTGTGGGACTTGCTGAGAGGTGGTATTTCTGTTCTTCACCAGTGATTTAAGGGATTGTTATGATGATTTTTGTTGATAGGTGATTGCTGCTTCACATACTAACTTTAAAACTTAACTCCTGTCACTGTTCCACTGTACATTTTCCCCCTAATCTTGATGTTTCAACATATAATGGCAAGCCCCATAATCCTAAAATGTATTTGTCCTTTGGAATATTAGTACCTTTAGGGCATTGATTTCTTTGTTGTTGTTGTTGTTAATCCTCACCCAAGGATATTTTTTCCATTGATTTTTAAAGAGAGTGGAAGGGACATAGGGATGGGGGAGAGAGAGAAACATCGATGTGATAGAGACACATAAATTGGTTGTCTCCTGCACTTGCCCCAACCGGGCCTGGGGATCAAACCTGCCACCCAGCTATGTACCCTTGACCGGGAATAGAACCTTTGACCCTTTGGTGTAAGGGATCAATGCCACACCGGCCAGAGCTAGGGCATTAATTTCTGAATGGTAATATAGTCAAATCTATCACTCTAGCTGGTGTCCACCCTTCCTTTGAATCACTCATTATCTTTAGTTTCACCCATTTGTTACCATTCCTGCCCCTGCATCCCTTGGGAGCCGGCTGAAATCTGTTGATTTCTCAATAAACCGGAAAACTGAAACAGTCTGCCAGCCAGAGAGACCTGTGAGAAGCATCTTGCCTTAGGTCATGAATTGCTATTCTAGCAAATGGGACCAAGGCTATGAAAACAGAAGGACAATGTATTGATTTATCATAGGCAGGTATAGACTTGGAACAGCACTGCAGAAAGTCACTTTACAATATAAAAGTTTCCAATAATGGTAAGTGTTTTCATATAACTTTTATTTTATTTTTTTTTACCAAAAAGTAGATTTTTCTCCTAGACAAACAGATAAGCAAAAATAAATAAATAAATAAGAGAACACTACCCATATATCCAGAGATGACCACTGTTAACATTTTAAAGTATAGATTTCCAATCTTTTATTAAGGGCATGTACCTAGGTTGCAGTTTGTCCCTGGCCCTGGTCGGGGTCTCGTGGGAGGTAACCAGTCGATGTGTCCCTTTCACATTAGTGTTTCTCTCTGTCTCCCTTTTTCTCCCTCTCTCTCTACCTGAAGATAAATGGAAAAATATCCTCGGGTGAGGATTAAAAACAAAAAATATCACTATGTGCATAACCCATAAACACAGACAACAGTGTGCTAATGGCCAGAGGGAAGGGGGTGCAGGGGCTGGGTGAAATGGGCAAAGGGGGAGAAAATGGGGACACATGTCATAGTGTCAACAATAAAAATAAAGTCGAAAAATGTATATATATAATTAAATATGTACATTGTTATTCATATTCCATTGTAAGGATTCCATTGTATTGCATTGCATCGTAGGATGAGAAACAATTCTCTGTTGTTGGGTATTTGTGTTGTCCCTAGCGTTTCCTTGTGATAAGCAACACTGAGATGAATGCTTTTGTGATGAAAGCCCTTCATATATGCACAATTACATCTTTAATTGCTGAAAATGGGGTTGTTCTTTTAAAATCAGTGTATATTTTTTTAGTGGATTAAGCGTCATCCCATGGACTGAGAGGGCCTGGTTAGATTCCTGGTCAGGGCACATGCCCTGGTTGCAGATTGATTCCCAGTAGGGGGTGTGCAGGTGGGTCTGTGCTTCTCTCTCACATTGATGTTTCTATCTCTCTTTTCCTCCTGTTTCTAAAAAAATAAAATCAGTGTATATTTTTTAGGCTTTTGATATATTCTGTCAAATTGTTCCACAGAAATGGTTTACACTCTTCTAGTTTTATATGGTTGTGATTTCCCCCTGCACTATCACAGTCAGCACTTTTAAAGTTATTTGCCAATTACAGAGGAGCTGAATAGACACCTCTCCAAACAGGACATACAAATGGCCAAGAGACATATGAAGAAATGCTCAACATCACTAATCATCAGAGAGATGCAAATTAAAACAACAATGAGGTATCACCTCACACCTGTCAGAATGGCCGCCATCAACAAATCATCAAACAACAAGTGTTGGCAAGGGTGTGGAGAAAAGGGGACTCTAGTACACTGCTGGTGGGAGTGCAGACTGGTGCAGCCACTGAGGAAAACAATATGGTGTTACCTCAAAAAATTAAAAATTGAACTTCCATTTGACCCAGTGATCCCACTTCTAGGAATATACTCTAGGAAGCCTGAAACACCAATCAGGAAGAATATATGTACCCCCATGTTCATAGCAGCACTATTTACAATAGCTAAGATCTGGAAACAGCCCAAGTGTCCATCAGTAGACGGATGGATAAAATAGCTGTGGTACATATACACAATGGAATACTATGCAGCTGTAAGAAAGAAAGATCTCTTATCCTTTGAGACGACATGGAGGGACCTGGAAAGTATTATCCTAAGTGAAATCAGCCAAGCAGAAAAAGACAAATACCACATGATCTCACTTATATACGGAATATAATGAACATAACAGTCTGAGGAATACGGTAGACCCAGAAACATGGAAGTAGGGCACAGACTGACATCCCTCAGAAGAGGGGGTGGGGGGGTGGGAAGAGATAAACCACAGAACTTATATGCATGTATGCATGTCCAATGGACATGGACAACTAAGCCGGGGATGGGGCGGGGTAGGGTGGGGAGGGGAGTGTCAATGGGGTAAAAAAGGTGAAATATCTAACAAAAAGAAAATTAGAAAAATATATATATAAAGTTATTTGCCAATTAGATAGCTAAATGTTTTATTTGAATTCTAATTTCTTTGAATATTCATGACGTTGAATATTTTTTTCACATGTTCATTGACCAGTCTAATTCTGTGTCTTTTGCCTGTTTTGCTAGTATAGTCATCTTTTTCCTACTAATGTTTAAAGGTGACTTCACTAATAAGGACTTTTTTCATATATGTTGCAAAAACAAATGTTTCCTACTTTGTTGTTTACTCTTTAATTTTTATTGTAATCCTTGTTTTGGCTTTTGTTGTCTAGGAGTTTTCCATTCATGTAATTAACCTAGCAGTTTTTCTTTCTTGGTTCTTATATCTTGTGTAAGGTTTTATAAAAAGTCTTTTTCCACTCCAAAATTGTATAAATAATCACCTGATACCAGTATTTTTATGGTTTCATTTTTTAAAACTTAATTCTTTTAGCCATCAGGAATGCATTTTGCTATTTAGTTTAAAGGTGCGACTTTCCCCACTAAATGAGAAGCCAGTTATTGAATAATGTGCCCTTTCATACTGACTTAAAATTCCTTTCTTATCATAAACTAAGTTCTTATATATACTTGAGCCTGTTTTGGCCTTTTGGTTCTATTCCATTGCACTGATCTATCCATTCCTGCTGTTTTATTACCCTACATACAGATCCTGTATTAAAAGTAACTCTAGCAGTGTCTAATCTTCAGAAGTCATTGCACTACTGGTCTGATCTCCTGGGAATGAAAATTTATGAAAAAGATGAAAAGAAACAAAGGGCTTTGCTGGGCTATGCTGATAACCAGGTGAGTGATCGTGGAGAGAAATAAGCTGTTACTTTGAATTTGGCTTATACATGAAGTTAACATGAAGGCTATTCCCTTAATTTCCTCATAGTAATTTAATATTTATACAGATAGCCCTGGCCAGTGGTTAGAGCATCAACCTGCGGTCTAGAGAGACCCGGGTTCGATTCCCTCTAAGGGCATGTACCTCGGTTGCAGTTTGTCCCCAGCACTGGTTGGGTTGTGGGTGGCAACCACTCGATGTGTCCCTTTCACATCGATGTTTCTCTCTCTCTCTCTCTCTCTTCCTCCCACTCTATCTGAACAAAAAATGGAAAAATGTCCTCGGGTGAGGATAAAAAAATAAAAATAAATAAAAAATAATATTTATACAGATAAACAGAAGAAAATAAAAAATTGCTGATAACCTCAGCACTTAGATATTTTGGGTTCTATCCTTTCAAAAGGGGATTGCTGAGTCAGAAGAGATGTAGACAAGATTTAATGCTGTAATGATAATGTATTTTTATCTTTTTCTTTTAAAAAATAACCCAGCATTTGAGCACGATTTAGTCTTTGCACTTTGACCCAGTAGATCTATTCCTAGGAATTGATTTTACATACTCATCATATATGTTCACAAAGAACTGTGTACAAGGTTATCTGTTGCAGCATTATTTATAATAGCACATATAAGAAATAACCTAAATGTCCTAGGGATTAGCAGAATAGTTCTGTGATTTATGGTTCATCCATAGAATGGGTTACTATGCAGCTATCAGGAAGAATGAGATGAGTCTGTGTGCTGCTATGGTAACATTAATTGGAGAAAAACAAGGGACAGAAAAGATATGTGCATACCAGGGTCTAGAAAAGTGGTTCTCAACCTTCCTAATGCCGTGACCCTTTATTCCAGTTCCTCATGTTGTATGTGGGCGTATCTGCATGTGGGTGGACCCGCCTGGAGACGGGTAGAGGAGCAGTGTCTCGGTTCCTAAGACCATCAGAAATATGTGTTTTCTGATGGCCTTAGGCGACCCCTGTGAAAGGGTCGTTTGACCCTCAAAAGGGTCGCTACCCGCAGGTCGAGAACCGCTGGTCTAGGAGTATACACAGGAAACTGCTGACTGGTTGCCTCTGGAGTGAGAGTAGCTTTCTTGCTTTAGTAATCTTTGAAAAATGTTAACCACATAACCTGTTCTAAAAAATGAACCAAACCCACTTTCTTATTTCTTTTCAGTGTAAGCTGGAGCTCCAGGGTATCAAGGGTGTGATTAATCATGCAGCAGCTTTTGGAAGAATAGCCTTTTCTTGCCCCCAGACAGAGGTAATGTTTGGTACCAGATCTTTTATTTAAGCTCTGTGACTAGCTAGTTCAACCGCTGTGATCTGTGGGCCTCCCCTTCTTTAGGTTCATTTTGATTGTGGCTTTGGTATCAAGTTTAATAGTGGTCTCGAGCAAGTGGCTGAAATAATAAAATCAAATGAGTGGCTCCCAGGTTCTTTCTGATTGATCTGATATTTCTCTAGGGCTGATGAGGACCATGGCCTGACAGTGGTACATGACCCCTAGTTTACTTTTCCTTTTTGTTTTCCTCAAGCTGCCTGACTTAGAGGACTTGATGAAAAGGGAGAAACAGAAGATTCTGACTCCCCTGGTGAGTCTGGATACCCCCGGGAAAGCCACAGTGCAAGTGGTCATTCTGGCTGACCCTGTAAGTATTACTCGGGAAGGGGGTGGGCTGCACCAGGGCTTTCTTCTGAGGTGTCTTTTTGCCAAATTTCTTTTGTTTTTTTGTATTTTTGTGTAGGATGGGCATGAAATTTGCTTTGTGGGAGATGAAGCATTTCGAGAACTTTCTAAAATGGACTTAGAGGGAAGCAAATTGTTGGATGACGTGAGTGTCATTTTTAAATTTTTGGGATTATAGGACCAAGGGAGGTGGCCTTAAGTGTGTATGGGGAAGGGCCAAAGCAGTAGGGACCAGTTCTTACTGTCAGAACCATGTTCTTTTGCTTTGGGGATAACTTTTGAGCCAGGGACATGTTCTATTTGTCTCTCTTTCTCCCTCTCTCTCTAAAAATTAAGAAAGAAAAAACATTTATAGCTTATTCTTTTCCTTTCTAGTGAATTGTTCTCAAGCTCCAGTACTTTTCTTGGAAAAGTCTTTTATTTACCCCATATAACTTCTCCAGATTTCTTTTTTTAAAAATTTGCCTACCCTGGCTGGTTTGGCCAGTGGTTAGAGTGTTGGCCCGCAGACCAAAGAGTCGCGGGTTCGATTCCAGTCAAGAACATGTACCTCGGTTGCAGTTTGTCTCCATCCTTGGTTGGGATTGTGTGGGAGGCAACCAATCAATGTGTCTCTTTCACATCCATGTTTCTCTCTCTCTCTCTTTCTCCCCCCGCCCCCACTCTATCTGAAGATGAATAGAAAAACATCCTCAGGTGAGGATTTAAAAAAAAAAACTCTGCCTATACACTGTTTCTACTTCTCACCTCCCATTTACACTTCAGTCTATACTACCCTGGATCCTGTCACTCAGTGATATGCGCATTTTGATCTCATCAGTGACTTCCATCCTGCCAAATCCAGCAACTACTTTTCTATCCTCTTCAAACTTGCTTTTTTAGCAGCATCCAAGCAATTGTTCCTTATTGGACCCCAGCATCTAGCACATACCTGTATGTGGTATGCACTCGGTGAATACTCTGTTGATGATTAAAGGAATGAGTCAGTCTTTCCTGCTTCTGTCACTTAATATCTGTGTGGCTGACAAGTCTCTAAATTTACGTTTTCTTATCTGAAATTTGAGAAAATTAGATTGTCCACCTCATAGGATTGTTGTGTGGTTTATAGAGCCTGCCAAACTGCTGACATAATAACAGATACTCAATTAATGTTCATCAAAGTAAAAAATGTGTAGAAAATGCAGCATTTATAAATTTTACCATAAAGAAAAATAGAATCTCAGGCAACCTCTCAGCTGGCAAATTTGCTAGACTCTCCTTGCTCTTTCATGTCCTGGGCAATGTCCTCCTCTTTGGAGCTCTGTTCTCCTTTGGTGTTAGAGATCCTGCCCTCTTCATATCCCTCTGCCAGCTTCTCCTCAGTCACAGGCACCTCTTTCTGTGTCTGATCCCAAAATCATTTTACACATGGCCCATTCTGGCTTTCTTTTATTCTCATTCTACATTCTCTGTCTTCTTTTGCGTAGAAGTTACCTACTACGCTGGTTATTTCTGCTCTGAGCTTCAACTATCATCATTTCTCTGACTTCCTAATTTTTTTTTATTTCTTTAGAGAGAGTGGAAGGGATGGAGGGAGGAAGAAACATCTATGTGAGAGAGACATATTGATTGATTGCCTCCTGCACTCGCCCCGACCGGGCCGGGCATGAACCTGCAACCCAGGTGCATGCCCTTCACCAGAAACTGAACCCATGACCCTCAGTGCCAGGGCCGATGCTCTACCACTAAGCCACATTGGCCAGGGCTCTGGCTTTCTAATTTTTAGTTCCTGCTCCTCCCTGAGCTCCAAACAAATATTTTGTTATTGTTGTTACTGAGGTAAAATATACATGGAATTTAAATATACAGAAATTTAGTGTTCAATTTCATGAGTTTTGACAGTTATATATACTCATACAGCTACTACTCAAAATATAGAGTATTTTCATCATTGCAGAACGTTCTTTTATGCCCATTTCCAGTTAGGTCCCACCACCACCACTCTGTCACATTAGTTTTGTCTGTCTTTGGACTTCATATAAGTGGAATCATTCTGTAGGTTTTCTTTTGTGCCTGGCTTTTTTCACTCAGCATTTTTGAGATTTCTCCATGTAATTGCATGGAATTTGTTCTTTTTTTAAAATTGCTGAGTGTATTCAATGTAATGAATATAACATTGTATAAGTCTGTTTATCCATTCTTCCAATGATGGATATTTGAGTTGTTTCATATTTTCATCTATTATAAGGAAGACTGCTGTGAACATTCGCGTGTAAATCATCTCATAGATGTATGTCTTATTTCTCTTGGATAAATACCTAGGAGTGGAATTGCTTTTACTGTATAAGAAACTGCCAGACAGCCTTGGCCAGTTTGGCTCAGCTGTTAGAGCATCGGCCTGCGGTTCAGAGAGACCCGGGTTAGGTTCCCGCTAAGGGCATGTACCTCGGTTGCAGTTTGTCCCCGGCCCTGGTTGGGTTGTGCGGGTGGCAGCCACTCAATGTGTCCCTTTCATGTCGATGTTTCTCTCTCTCTTTCTCCCTCTCACTCTATCTGAACAAAAAATGGAAAAATGTTCTCGGGTGAGGATAAAAAAAAGAAAGAAAGAAACTGCCAGACAGTCATCCAGAGTGATTGAACCTTTTTGCACTTTTATCAGGCGTGTCATATACATCAGAGTTCTAGCTGCTATATGTCCTCATCAACATTTGTACATTTTTGGTTTTCGTTTGTAGCTATACTAATACATATAAAATGGTTTCTCAGTTTGATTTTAATTTGCATCTTCCTGGTGACTGATGATGTTGAATACCTTTCCATATGCTTATTGGCCATCTGCTTGCCTTCTTTTGTGAATTATATGTCCTTTTGTCTATTAATACTTCATGATTAAAAAATCCAAATAAACACAGAAAGTACAAAAAATCCCCATGTGACTGTCACCCATCAGCTCTGTGCCATAATTTTTCATTATTCTTTCCCACCCCACCCTTTGTTTTTGCTGGAGAATTCTAAGGCAAGTCTCAGACACCATGACATTTCATCCCTAAATACTTAATTAAGTACTTTACACATTTTTAAGACAATTTAAAAGAAGGAATTTTCTTATGTACCATACTGATATCATCACACTTAAAAAAATCAACAATATATCCTTCATGTCACCTAAAATCCAGTTCTTGCTAAAATTTCCCTGATCCTCTAAAAATAGTTTTATACAGTTGGTTTGTCCTATGTATTTTTAAATTAGCTTTAGTGTAATTGGACTATATAAATACAGAACTGTTTATATGATCCATTGAGTTTCATGACAAACTAGTTGGAAGACACACCTCTGAACTATTTCATCTTAGCCATTCTAGTCTACTGTCTAATCTCTAAATATGTCTTTACTCACACTATTTTTTTCTCCTAGAATGTCCCTTCTCCTATTTGAATATTTGCTTGTTTTATTTTATTTTATTTTATTTACTGATTTTTAGAGAGAGGAGGAAGGGGGTGAGAGAGAGAGAGAAACATCAATTTGTTGTTCAACTTATTTATGCATTCATTGGGTGCTTCTTACATGTGCCCTGACCAGGGATCAAACTTGAAACTTTGGCATATTGGGACAACGCTCTAACCAACTGAGCTACCCAGCCAGAGCTAATATTGCTTATATTTTAAGCCCAATTTCATTAAAAAATTTATTTATTTATTTTTGTTGTTGTTGATTTGTTGGAGTTTCAGATATGAGTCATTTGATATCATCAAATGCAAGTACTTTTCCCAGTTTATGACTTGCCTATTTATTGTTTTGAAGAGACAAAGTTTTTTTTTGGTTCTAATTTGTAAACATTTTATGTTTAGTCCTTTTTGGGTCTTGGATAAATTTATAGCCAGTGGAACCTTTTCACCATGGATATTTCAAACTCAGTATGTCTATAACTTTATTTACCTCACCTCAAATCCATTTTTCTTTTAATAATATAAAAATAAAAGCTACTATATATTATCTCCTATGTTCTTGACATATGACATATTCTTAAGTGCTTTATATATATTTTCTATTCTTACCACAATCTGCAAAGTTGATAGTTGCCTTTCAGATGAGGAAACTGAGGCTCAAAAATATTGTCACCCAATATCATACATTCATGGTCAGGGCAGGGGCTCGCGCAGAGCTCTTTCAAGCTGTACAGCCAGTTCTTTTTCCTCCTCTCTCTACTCTGCTCTCTCCCCTGAACAGTGCTGTGTATCTTTTATCCCAATTATTTAAGCTAGAATCCTTGGAGCCTTTTTTTTACATTTAGAATACTTTTTACTTTAGTATAGTTTTAGATATACAAACAGAGCCATTTTTGAATATTGTTTCTCCTCACCCCGAAATTCTGTTAGCTATTAGTCACCAAGAGTGTGAGTTTTACCTCTGAAATCTCGTGTGTCTACTTCCTTCTGAAACATCCTTATTACCACCCGTGGTAATACTGCAGAAGCCTCCTTCCACCCTCCTCAATCCCTGCTGCCAGCATTAGCTTTCTAAAGCACAAATCCAGTAGTTAAAAAAAGCACACACACAAAACGGTGTAATCTGATAGTTCTCTGTTGACTCAAAGACACATTCCAGACGCCTTGACCGTATGGAACACTACCCCTTCCCTGCTCTCTGATCTTCTGTGCTGCTTGTCTCCCCTGGTTCACTCCCATTCCAGTCCCAGTGAGCTGTTTATATCAACCAAGATTTATCTTCTTGCCTTTCTTCTATCTTTCCTCTTATTCAATGTATCCTTCAAAACTCAGAAGTTTTCTTGGGTCTTCTATACTAGAGTTTGTTGTTTCCCCCTTTTTTAAAGTAGCTCTTAAAAGACAGAAATGTCTACATCCTTGCAGGTTGGTTTTGTTTTGTTTTCTGCTGAGTATCTTTCATTTTATGTATTTATTTATTTTCTTTTCATCAAAATCCAGTAGTACTGAGATTCTATATAAAGGCAGTGCAGTGTCGTTGCTGAGTCCCGCTGCCCAGGGCAGCCACTCTCAGCATCACTGTTTCTAAATAAAAGATACATATATTTCTGTTTCTTCATTGTCAGTTGCAGACAACATCCTTTGACTTCTTGCTGAGGTAGATGAGTGTTTGTACACTCTTTCTCCAACCAGTTAGTTACTCCTTTCCTTTCAGGCTGCTGTCACTTTGTTTATCGTTCTGTTATAGCAAACACCCCCCCCCCCCCCGCCATATACCGTTATGCAAAACAGTTGTTTTTATATCTGACTCCTCAGCTATTCTATGTGCTCTTCAAAGCCTCAGACTATGTCTGTGCCATACCCAAACCCAAGTCAATACCTACCTCATAATGAAAACTGGCATTTTAAAAGGTATTTCTGTACTTGCTTTTTGACTGAACGAATGTATCTCCTTATCAAATAGCTATTTACCATATGTGTGGTTGTACTGGACAGGACATTTTAAGAGATCTAGATTCTAAACCTTTGCCAGCCTGGCTCCATGGTCTCAACCTCAAGGAACAATAGGATAAAAGGACTCTGGTGGAACCAAAACATTGTTATTAACAAGGCTTCCTTGTTAATTAAGTGGCTCAAAACTAACCAAACAGTACCAACATCAGTGGAATGGCATAGGAGGATGCATAGAGAAAAGGAAATTGTTCCAGGCTCAATAGCGAAAATGTCAGAATAGCTTATTACCTTCAGTCTCATTATTAGACTGAGTCTCAGGAGCACTAACAATGCCTGAGAGCCTACCCAGGTGCTAAGAGTGATAGTACTTTGTGTTCTGCCGAAGACCCCACAGCCTGGTGTGCTCAGTCCTTGCTCTCTAGTCAATCAGCCACACTTCCTGGCTGCAGGCCCTTTATTCTACAAAGTGAAAATCCACAAGCAATTGCTCAATACTCATCAGCATCCTCTGTCAAATTAAACGTAATACTCTATACTGAATGAACACTTTTCAATTGTTAAATTCTTGATTATGGGCAATGCAGTGAGGTAGAAAGTGAACTATATATATATTTTGTTGTATAGACTTAGAATATATATTCCAATTCTGTTTCTATAGGCAATGGCAGCTGATAAAAGTGATGAATGGTTTGCTAAACAAAAGAAACCAAAGGCTTCAGGTTAACAGAAGACATCACGTGGCACAAGCATTTGAGATTCCTGTCTAGCACCTGTGAGGTTTGACATGTCCGTTCATTATAAATCCTCTCACAACTTGGTTGTTTCCTCTATGTACAAGGAAGCTGGGGTGGTGAAGATTTATGTATTTTAATCTTTGAAAGCTCTGATATGTTTTAGGTATAAAATTCTTATATTGTAAATCCAGTTAGAATTCTGGCTGTAATTTGTACTGTCCTGGAATGGCACAATCTTTTTTGTAACTATAATAGATTAGTAATTAATTATTTTCCAGCCTGGGGCAGCTATGTGGGACATTACCTTTGGTTGGGGGTGGAAGGAATTTTGATGAGTATGTGGATTTTAGAAGAACACCTGTTCAAATAAATCCAAATCAGTTGCTTGTAACAGGAATACTTGCAGCATCTGATGATAGTATGTTGTTCTAATGTCCTTCTCTGGCAGGCCTTGACATTTAAACATTTTAAAAGAAATGTTCCTTGAACCAAAAGATTTTGTTAACACCCCCACATTCCTTGCTTTAAAATTTTGAGTAGCCAGACAAAACAGACAGAAGGATCTAATGTGTTGTGTTGATACATGCCTGGCTCTGTGCTAGTTTCCTTATATAATTTTCAAAAATCTTCACAAGAGAACATGTTAAATTTCTTTTAAATGGGTTAGATGGTTTCCTTAGCCTGAAAAAAAAAATGTTTTTAAATGTTTTCTTGTAATTTTCTGTTTGTATCTATAGAATAAATTTCAGTCACTGGGAACATAATTATATTGGGCATATTTATTATTAAATGTTTTTTGAAGATGTACTTCTAAAATCAAGCTGTTATACCAGCCTGTAAGAGTCATTATTTAAAGTGGTGGGCAGGTTCAAATTTTAGGAAAGAAATTGATGAGATTGAAAAGGATTGACTCAGAAGATACCAGTTCCAGAATAATATATATTAAATTATGTGTAAATCATAGCCTCTGCTGTTCTCTCTTACTGTCAGGGTAGGGTATGGAAATTTCGGGATGAATTTCAGCTCATCTTTTTATAGGGTGATCTTACCTTCACTGAGAGAAAAAAAATTTTGTCTGGCTTCGTAGTACTTTTCATTCAACCTAAACTATCTTAGGGAAGCAATCATGAGTTTCAAAGCAAACCAAATTATATATAGTCCTCCTCTAAACAATTGGTTGGTTCACTTTTTTTGTCTATACATGGGGAAATTATTGTATGAATTTTAAATAATCAAATAAATAAACTGTTTCTTTTTTTTTATCCTCACCCAAGGACTTTTTTTTTTTTTTTTGTATTTATTTTCAGATAGAGCAGGAGGGAGAGAAGGAGGGAGAGAGAGAGAGAAACATCGATGTGAGAGAGAGACACACATTGAGTGGCTGCCACCCAACCAGGGCCAGGGACAAACTGCAACTGAGGTACGTGCCCTTAGTGGGAACCGAACCCAGGTCTCTCTGGACCGTGAGTCAATGCTCTAACCACTGAGCCAAACTGGCCAGGGCCCAAGGACATTTTTCTACTTAAATGTCCTTGGACGTTTTGTCCTTGGACAAAAGGAGGGAGGGAGAGGGAAAGAGAGAGAAACATTGATGTGAGAGACACATTGACTGGTTGCCTCCCGCATGACCCCTACCAGGGCTGGGGATGAACTGCAACCAAGGTACGTGCCCTTGACTGGAATCAAACCTGCAACTCTTTGATCTGCGGACTGATGTTCTGACCACTGAGCAAAACCAGCCAGGGCATAAAATGTTTCTTTATGCTATTTGTTACTTCTCAGATTTTCTATTAGATTATCAAGTAATTCTTGATGTTTAGCTCTAGTAATACTGTTCTTGTTAGAAGAAACTATACTTTTCCCAGTGTATCAGGCTGCTGTGATGTGGCCTTCTAAGTTTGTTATAGTAAAATAAGGGGTTTATGTAAGTACTGAATGACTAAACACATACTAGACCCCTCTTTATCTGCTTATCTTATATTTTAACATACTCCAGCTTTTTTCTCTTAAATGTACAATTATGCATGGTGTAATTTAATGCTGTTTATCTACCGGGGGCGTTTTGGCTTTATGATATGAACTCCCTTTTATTTATCTCATTGCCTGTCATTTTTCCTGTATTGCAGTCTTTAATGTTTTATTCATCCTAAAACCCTCTTATGTTCCACTTTGGCCTTTTATCAAGGGAATCTAAATGTTTACCTCTGCACATTGCAGCTATGAATTTTAAACCAAAGGTTATGATTACTTTCCCACCTCTGGTGGTGGTTTGATCAACTAGAAAAGCAAGTTATAAGAAAAATGGTTTTGCCCATGCTGATGTTTTTAAACAGATAAAGTTGGAAAGTTCTTTAGTTTCTCCAGATTTATGTTGTGTTTTCAGAGTAGTCATTTTGTTTTGACTTGAGGGGTTGTGGAGTCCTAGATAAGTTCAAATATACCTTGGGTATAAATCCAGAAATATTTAGAATGGCTGTGTTGCAAGAGTTCTCCTAGGTTAGCCTGGAGATTTAGTATGAAATCCCCATTTGCCTGACATCTTAGTGGAATTAGCAAAGCCACGGACATTCGGTGCTCCTTTGAGTGACTTTCTGCCCATCTCACTTGCCATACAATGCCACTGTGGTTTAGCAGAGTTTTCAGGAGAGCTCCAACTTGTCCATTGAAATGTATGATAAGAGTTCATGGGAAATTCCAGTTTGGTCTAAGATTTATTACCTTTACCCCATGGGAAGTTTATTCTGGCCTTAATGTTCAATAAAGAAGTGCCCTTGCCCAGCCTGGTGTGGCTCGGTGGTTGAACGTTGATCCATGGACCAAGAAGGTTATGGGTTCGATTCTTGCTCAGGACACATGCCCCAATTACGGGCTCGATCCCCAGTAGGGGGCGAGCAGGAGGCAGTCAATTGATGTTTCTCTCTCATTGATATTTCTCTCTCTCTCCCTTCCTCTCTAAAAATCAACAAAAACATTTAAAAAAAAGTAGTGCCCTTGCCTCAGACCTCTTTGTGAGGTAATAGGGTCAATAGTTTAAAAATCAAAACAGCCCTGGCCAGTATGGCTCAGTGGTAAGATCATCACCCAAGGACCAAAGAGTCCCAGGTTCAATTCCGGCCAAGGGCACGTACCTTGGTTGCGGTTCTCTCCAGCCCCAGTTGGGGTCATGCGGGTGGCAACCAATCGATGTGAGACATTGATGTTTCTCTCTCCCTGCCGCCTTCTTTCCTTCCAACTCTAGCTGAAGATTAATGTAAAAACATCCTCAGGTGAGGATCAAAAACAAAAAATCAAAATCAAAACAATGTATAAAGGTATACATTGAAAAGTCTTGCTCCTACCCAACCCCATCAGTCCCACTCCCCCTGCCTCTTATTAAGCATACAAATATATATATATGTTCATATTTTCTCCCTTTTCCCCCCAACATTTAGCACACTATGTACACTACACCTTGCTTTAAATAAATGTATTCTACAATTGCTTTCTGCAGTCCTGATTATGGTACATTTTTACTTTATCAGGTTTTATAGTGATTTACAGAATGGTATGGCTGTATCCTAAGTTGACACTATATTTTGGGCCAAGATGTTCAATTATTATTTTTATCATTTACATTTAATGCGAATCATGGTTTAAAATTTTTAAAAATAAATTTATTGATTTTTTTTAGAGAGAGATGGAAACACCAGTGAGAGAGAGAAACATCCATCGGCTAGCTCCTGCATACCCCCTACTGTGGATCCAGCCTGCAACCCGAGCATGTGCCCTGACCTGGAATCAGACTGGGACTTCTCAGTCCATGGGAGGACATTCTGTCCACTTAACCACACTGGGTGTGAATCATGATTTTATTTTTTATTTATTTTTACCATCATACAAACTTTATTGGCGCAATATCTGTGAGATGTTTCTGGTTTGTCCCAAGGAGGACAGACAGGCCTTTTCTTACTGAAATGTAAATTAACACAATTGCAAATCAAGCTTAACACACTCGTGAATCATGGTTTTAAAAGCATCAAAATGTGTTCATAATATCCTTGAAAGAAGAGAGAATACAACTTTTTTAAAAAATTATTTTTATTAATTTGTTTTTGTTACAGATGTTTCTCCTTTTCCCCCATTGACACCCTCCTCCCCATCCCCAGCTTTGTTGTCTATGTCCATTGGTTATGCATACATGCATATAAGTTCTGTGGTTTATCTCAACCCCCTCGAACAATACAACTTTTGTACTATGTGCCCTGTACCCAGTTCTTTAAGCACTGTTGCATCCTGGGTATATTTCTTTAAATCCTCACCCAAGGCTATTTTTTTCCATTGATTTCAGAGAAAGTGAAAGAGAGGGAGTAAGGGCGGGGGGGAGAGTGAGTGAGAGAAACATTGATTAGTTGCCTCTCACACCCCGACCAGGGCCGTAGGGCTGTGGATTGAACCTGCAATCCAGGTACCTTCCCTGACCAGGAATCAAACCTGTGACATTCTGGTGCTCAGGACATTGCTCTAACCCATGGAGCCACACTGGCTGGGTGCTTCATTCCTAAGTAATGTACTTAGTCTATAACAGCTTCCTACAAATATGTGAACAGAAGATCTCAAAGATACCTGGTGAGGTTTGGTTTCTTTTGACTTTCCTCTGAGGTCATTATGGTTGTTCCTTCAGTTGTTTGATGGTCAATCATGAATTGGAGCTAACCTGATATCATGATCTACGAATAGTTCTTTTTATTTAGTTTTTATTTTTTTATCCTCACCTGAGGAAATTTTTGCATTTATCTTCAGATAGAGCAGGAGGGAGAGAGAGGGGAAGAGAGAGAAACATCGACTGGCTGCCACCCACATGACCTCAGCCAGGGCCGGGGACAAACTGCAACCGAAGTACATGCCCTTAGTGGGAACTGAACCCGGGACTCTCTGGTCCCCGGGCCAACGCTCTAACCGCTGAGCTAAACTGGCCAGGGCTATGAATAGTTCTTAATCCAGGAAAAGTATTGGAAAATCCCATGCCACAGTAGACCTTTTGCTTCAGAATTTCTCTAACAATATAATTTAGCACTCCATATCCCAGTGCAGCATTGTGCATTGATGCCGCCATGATCATCAGTACTAAGGATTAGAGGCTGAGCTCAGGCACTCTGGTCCTTGCATGGGTCAAGGGATTTGTTGTGCTCCAAAACCAAATACCATATACATACATGTACATATTGTCCCACAAACATCCCCAAGTAGAAACCAAGATTAGCTACACAGTAGTCCCAAGAAAATTTTGGTTGCTAGGCCTCAGATGAGTGTTTCAGAGGTGGGATTTTGAAAGCATATGCTCTGGTGTTTCCCAATTTCTGTGTTGTGATGCATCAACTACTTCACTAAAACATTCCTCAAAACTTGAACTTCATCAGGCCTGTGTTCCAGTAGGGGCTTTTGGCAGTAGGACTTGACTTTAGCTGTTTGGAAGACAAAGCCCCTTTTCCTTCCATAGTGTTTAGTTAGTGGTGAATGGACAGCCCCTGAAGAGATAAGGGGCCTCAGTCTCCTCTCCTTGCCCCCCTCCCCAGAAGCTGAGCCTCTCTCACTGACCTCAAACCTTGGGTATTTTCATAGCATGATTTTCTCCCCACCCCTCTACTCCTGCCAAATATCTACATATGATCCAAGAATAGGAAGGCTGGGAACGCTACTCAGAATCATACCAAAAGCCAGTTTTGATGGAACTTTCTTTAGAGGAGAGATGCTTTTAATACATTTTGGATAGCTTCCCAGTATTCGCACAGTCACTTTGAGTTTATTGCTTTTCCAACAGCAGACATGCACTTTCATGAAGTTTAAGTTATTTATTAATGTCTCAGCTGTGGTTGCTATGGTTTCAGGACACTTCAGCCATCGAGGTCTTTTAAGAAGCCCATTTCCTTACCAGAGGAGCCATGCTACTTCATTTGTTTGACACTTTGTCTTCCTTAACCAGTTTCCTTTTTCTTCAGTTCTTCTACTTTAGCAACATAGAATCTCATGGCGTCCATCTTGGTCATCCCTTTTTTCTCGTTCCATGCCTCCCACTTGGACTTGGCTCTTGCATCTGTGGCAGGTGGGCTAGGGATGTTGCAGTCGCCCTCGGTGGCCTGTTTGTAGAAGCTATAGATCAACAATTTGTCCTCATCACTCACAGTTCCCTTCAACTGCTTTATAGCAGCGCAGGCCATCTCAAACTCCACTTGGCACATTGCAGCGACTGAGGCTAGGCCCCTCTGTCTTTTCTAAGTGATACCTAGCACCAGAAGCTGGAGGGTGGAGAGTTAGAAACACTTGAGGCTGGTGATTAAATCTGGGAAGAAGGGAAAGGGAGAAAAGGAGACAGGGTAGTATGTGGGAAGAACATCGGATATTTGTGTGTTCTCAGTGAGAAATCAAATATGCATTTTTATAATGTACACATTGAAAACTGGGGCCCACTGGATTGGATCTCCCCCCCCCCCCCAGTTGTTCTGGAGAGAAGCACAACCATTAACATTTCAAAGGCGTCCATGGCGCCAGAAAATTAAGGAGCTGCTGCTGTGATCTGGAGGAGGAGCGCTGGGGGCGATTGTGATGCTGTGGTGGTCAGAGTGTGAGAAGGGGAGATCCGCTGCTGGGAAGGAAGCCTGTCATTAGAGAGGGGCGCATCTGTGCTGGTTTTTGGGCAGCCTGGCGAGGGACATTCAGTGTGGGTGAACTATGTGCGCGGATCCCAGGGGTTACTGGGTGGAGCAGAATTCGGGGCCAGGGACAAAGCTAATGGGTAGGACCCACTGGGATCAGAAAGCAAGGTAATGGACTGGACAGATGGCTGGCTGAGCGAAGAGTGGAAATTAAGGGGGCCGGGCGGAGGGGGGGTTCCCGTGGAGAGGGTGGGAGGGGCGGGGCAAACAGCGGTCGGAGGGCGGAGCGGGTACCAACCTGTTAGACGGTTGGAGGCCTATGGTCGATAGGGGGCGCTGTGGGCTCGGCGGCCTCGACGCCACGGGTTCGTGAGTGAGGACTGCGCATGCGTGCGGAGCGGGCGGAGCGGACGGAGCCTGCCGCTGACGGCGCGGGGCCGGACCTGCGACTGCGGGCGGGGCCGGAGGCGCGGCCTCTTGTTTCGCCCCGGGGACCGCCCATTGTGCCGCGGTGCCTGCGCAATACTCGCCGCATTGCGCCTGCGACGCCGCCATGGACCTAGGTGGGTGTACCGGCCCTTCTTCCCGGAGCCCGCCCCGGGACCTGGGCGGTGCTGAGTGGGCCGGTGCGGAGGGAGATCTCCGGTTGGGGAGGGGTTAGGCAGACAGGAGTTTCCTGGGAGACTGGGTCGTGAGGCCGGGCTCTAGCTCCGGCCCCGCCGCTCTTACTCCCTGGGCCCCTTTCCACGTGAAGCGCCCAACGGTTGTGAAGAGAGTTCGTGCACGTGCTTTGGAAACGCCGGGCTCCAGGACGCCCGGGGGATCCCGGATGCCCGGCGATCTCCTTTTTGAATATCTGATAAGTTCTTGAGCAGGTGACTTAGGAGATGATCGTGTATCTGCTTCAGAGTTTGGGGAAGTTTTCCTTGCGATAACGTGTATAGCGTTCATCAGACTAGCAGTTGTGGGGACGGGTTGTGGCATCTGCGATGGCTCGGGCACTTTGGTTCAGAATCCTGAGGCAAAGTTTGGAAGAAGGGAGGGAGGAGCTGGTATAAATCAGTGGCTTCTTGATCAGCGTCTTACCCTTCTAGTCCTGCTCCTAAGGGGATAAGACCAGGAGACTCCTCTGGGACAGCCAGGGTGAGGCACCCCAAGGGTGTGCCAGTAATACAAGCCTATAGAGAAAAGTTCTGGTCCCTGGTCCCAGCCAGCTCCTAAGTGGTGGAGTGGTAGAGCGGGAAGAGTTTGTAGCCCTAAAACTGGTGATTTCTGCCCAGCAGCTTTGTAGTTGCAGCATCCTGAGCAAATTGTTTCTGAGTCTCAATGTTCCCATCTCTAAAAGAGGAATAATATAACCCTCAAAAGGTTGATATGAAGACGTGAAGACATCTTACATGCGTACCACCTTGTACAGTGTCTGACACAGAATAGCACTTAATAAATATAAAGGAGGGGGCACTCACAAGCACCAGTTAACCAGTAGTTGTTAAACACGTGGGAATTACCAGCTATTAACTGCTCCTGGGACTTACTCCTTTAAGGAGCACATGTATTTACTTAGAGTCTCTGGAAAGTAGCTGTTGAAGGCCAAACATCTCAGCTGAGTTGATAGGGCAATAAAATTCCATTTACTGAGTCATAGGGAACATATTTTGGCGCCCTGGAGAGTAGCCTGAGCCATACAGAAGGTCCAGAATCCCCAGAGAGACCCCTCAGCAACCTAACCGTCCCTGGGAGTCAGCCTCCGCCACTGGGAGCCAAAGTAGATTGCCTGCACCAGTGGGCTGTGCAGGAGTGCTGATTCCTTGGCCTTTTTGCTGCTTCCATAAATGGTTGAAGGAGCAGGATATTCTTTAGTCTGCTGGAATCAGTAGTCTCTCTGTTGGCTCTTGGCCTGGGAAGATGGGTTCTTGGGGATATGAGGGACTAGGAGAGGGGAGGCACCTCTGGGCCCTGGGAAAGGGGAGAGGAGTCAGGAATATTGAATAAAATTTAATTTACAGAGTCATAGGGAACATATTTTGGTGCCCTGGAGAGTAGCCTGCGCCAGAAAGACAGTCCAGAACCCTCAGAGAGACCCCTCAGCAACCTAACCCTCCCTGGGAGTCAGCAGTGTTTGTGCTCCAATTTAGTTTCTGGGCCAAAGGGGACACCCAAGAAAGATTTGTCTTTTCATGATTCTGAGACAAGGGAGGCCAAGAACATTGACAATATTCTGGCCCTGTCAACAACTGAAAGGTTTGGGAAAACACAACATTTATTGGTTCTTGTATCAGGCTTTTTGTATCCTGATGAGTATTGTAGCTATATGTTGTTTAACCTTTACCATCCCTGGGAGATGGGATCAGGAGCTAGCAGTAAGCACCAACCCAGTACCACAGGCTTGACTAGTATATATCATTTGATCCTCACAATCACTATATGAAGTTTGTATTACCCACACATATGCAGAAGGGAGGCCAGAGAAGTCATCTGTCAAAGATCACACTGCTTTTAAATGGCTGAGCTAAACTCATGTCTGATTAAACATCCCAGGACACCTTCCTTGTAAGTCTATGTCAGTTCATGGCTCACTGAAGGACTTTTCTTTCTTAATATAGTGCATTGTTTTTTCTATCTGCCCCTTGGTTTCTACCAGAGAACCAGGGAGTATTCTCCTTGATGGAAGAAGCCATGGGTGAATTGTTCCCTGAAAGGCAAAACAGTTGAAACCTGTTTGCAGGACAAGGCTATAAGAGAAAAAAGGGGGGAGGTAGGATTTGTCTGATTGCTTCTGTGCCCACAGCCCTGGGGCTGTGTGCCTCTTAATCTGTATTATAATTTATAAGCTCAGTTTAATGTCTAGCAATGTATATTTGATGGCCCCTGTAATTTAACACTGTCCTTGTGCTATCTCTCTAAACCGTTCTTCCCCAAATCCTCTGCTGGCCCATCTTTTGATGGAGGGTCTAACCTCAGTACTGTCCAGCTTTTCCTTTTCAAATGCTTTTCCAGCAGGATCCCAATCACTTTATTTGTTCCATTGATCCCCTCTGACTTTCCTCCTGAGCCTCAACCCTGTATTTTCATTGCTAGAGGGCATCCCTACCTTAATGTTATACTTCAAACTCCAAATAACCAAAACTTAACAGTGTTCCCTCCCTCCAAACCTGTTCTGAGTCTCCTGTGTTCCCCATTTCCAGTGGTGCCTATTGTCTTCCCACTTCCAAGCTAGAGAGTTTGGGAGTCTTTTTATATTCCTCAAGTAAGTCCCTTTGACTCCAGCTGTGCAGTGGCTCCCTGAACCACCGCTTTCTTATTCCTCTTCCACTGATCCTATTTATAATTCTTATCTCTAACCCTGATCCCAACAGCCAGCCTACTAACTGTCTTTCCTTCTAACCTCTGCTTGCTATGTTAAAAATTTTCACCACACTCTATCTTATTTGGCTTCTCTCCATGCAGGGCCCTTGAATATCTGTGAAGAAATGACTGTTTTGCATGGGGGCTTTTTGCTGGCTGAGCAGCTGTTCCACCCCAAAGCACTGGCAGAATTGACAAAGTCTGACTGGGAGCATGTTGGGCGGCCCATTGTGGAGGCCTTGAGGGAGATCTCTGCCTCACCATGCTCCCAGTCCTTTGCCTGGAAGAGGAAAGCTCTGGTCATCATCTGGGCCAAGGTCCTTCAGCCCTACCCTGTCATTCCATCTGACACTGAAACTCGGTGGCAGGAAGATGTGTTCTTCTCTGTAGGCAACATGATCCCTACCATCAATCACACAGTCCTTTTTGAGCTGCTCAAGTCCCTGGAAGCTTCTGGACTCTTTATCCAGCTCCTGATGGCCCTCCCCACCACTATCTGCCGTGCAGAACTAGAGCACTTTTTGGAGCACATGGCTATTGACACTTCTTCAAAGGATGTGGCCTTTTTCCTTGATGTCTGGTGGGAAATGATGAAGCACAAGGGCAGTCAGCAGGACCCCCTGCTCTCCCAGTTTAGGACAATGGCTAATAAGTACTTGTCCTCTTCAGATGAGTTCTCCCACCCTCCAAAGAGGTTTAAGTCAGATCCGGATGTGTGTCCTACTATGCCTCTGTTGGCCATGCTACTCACTGGGCTGAAGCAAATCCAAAATAGAATCCTGTGTCCCGGGATGAAGTGCTGTGCGTTAGCTAACTTAGCTGACATGCTGACTGTGTTTGCACTGATGGAGGATGACCCTCAGGAAGTGTCCGCGACTGTGTACCTAGACAAACTGGCCACAGTGATCTCCGTATGGAATTCGGACACCCAGAACCCATATCATCAGCAGGCACTGGCAGAGAAGGTAAAGGAGGCAGAACGGGATGTCAACCTGAGCTCACTGGCCAGGCTCCCGAATGAAACTATTTTTGTTGGGTTTGAGTTCATGCGCAGCCTGCTGCGGGAGTGGGGGGAGGAGCTGCAGGCCATGCTCAATAGCAGCCACGGGACAAATTATGATAGCTACCGGCTATGTGACAGTCTGACTTCCTTCAGCCAGAACTTGAAGCTCTACCTGGATACCGCCAGTTTGTCCAAGGAGGAGAGGCAGGTGGTTTCTGAACTGGCAGAGTGCGTTGGGGATTTCCTGAGAAAAACGAACAAGGTACTAAACAAGGGCTTGGAGAAGGACATCACTGCCTCGATCGCCATGGCCATTATTGAGCAAAAGATGGATCGGCATATGGAAATGTGCTACATTTTTGCTTCTGAGAAGAAGTGGGCCTTCTCGGATGAGTGGCTAGCCTGCCTGGTTAATAACCAGGCTCTCTTCCGAGAGCCAGATTTGGTGTTAAAGCTGCTGGAAACAGTAGTGGAAGTCAGCGCAACAGACAGAACCATCCCCGAATCTCAGATCAAACAAGTGATCGACTTGATCCTGGAATGTTACACAGGCCTCTCACTGCCAGATAAAAATAAAGTCCTCTCGGGTGTCCTGGTTTCCTGGGGGCGAAAGGGCCTCTCTGAGAAGTTGTTGGCTTACTTGGAGGGGTTTCAGGAAGACCTCAACACGACTTTTAACCAGCTTGCACAGAGTGCTTCCGATCAGGGCTTAGCTAAGGCTGTCACTTCTGTGGCCCGCCTGGTCATACTGCACCCAGAGATCACAGTGAAGAAAATGTGTAGCATGGCTGTGGTCAATCTCGGTACCCACAAGTTCCTGGCTCAGATTCTTACCGCCTTCCCTGCCCTCAAGTTCACGGAAGAGCACGGTCCAAATCCATCCACCACTTTCATTTTGTCATGCCTCCAAGAAACCGTCTGGACAAAATTCTCTACACCCAAGGAAGAAAAACAGTTTTTGGAGCTCCTGAGATATCTGATGAATCCTGTGAAGCCCCAAGGGATTCCAGTAGCTGTTCTTCTTGAGCCAGATGAGGTGCTGAGGGAATTCGTCCTGCCTTTCTTGATGCTAGATGTTGAAGAGGTAGACCTCAGTCTGAAGATCTTCATCCAGACCCTCGAAGCAAATGCCTGCTTAGAGGAATACTGGCTCCAGACCTGTTCTCCATTCCCCCTCATCTTCAGTTTGTGCCAGCTCCTGGATGGCTTCAGCAAATACTGGCAACTCCCCAAGGAGAAACGCTGCCTCTCCCTGGATGGGAAGGATCTGGTGGTCCGTATCCTAGAGCGCCTATGTGAGATTGTATTAGCTAATGCCGAGACCTTCTCCCCAGACACCTGGATCAAATCCCTGTCCTGGCTTCACCGGAAGTTGGAGCAACTAGACTGGACTGTGGGCCTGAGACTGAAGAACTTCTTTGAGGGCCACTTTAAGAGTGAGGTGCCAGCCACCCTTTTTGAGATCTGTAAGCTTTCTGAGGATGAGTGGACCTCCCAGGCCCACCCTGGGTATGGGCCAGGCACAGGGCTCCTTGCCTGGATGGAATGCTGCTGCATCTCCAGCAGTGTCTCTGAGAGGATGCTCTCCCTCTTGGTGGTGGGTGTGGATAACCCTGAGGAGGTCAGATTGTTCAGCAAAGGCTTTCTGGTAGCCCTGGTGCAAGTCATGCCTTGGTGCAGCACCCAGGAGTGGCAGTACCTTTTCCAGTTGACCAGGAGACTTTTGGAGAAACAACTCCTGCATGTCCCTTATAGCCTGGAATATATTCAATTTGTTCCTCTGCTCAACCTGAAGCCCTTGGCCCAGGAGCTCCAACTCTCCGTACTCCTCCTGAGAGCTTTCCAGTTTCTCTGCAGCCAGAGTTGTCGTAATTGGCTTCCAATGGAAGGCTGGACCCATGTGGTCAAACTCCTCTGTAGCAGTCTCACCAGCCTCCTAGACTCAGTTAGGTTGATCCAGTCAGTTGGCCCTTGGGCCCAAGGACAAGAACAGGACCTGACCCAGGAAGCCCTATTTTTTTATACCCAGGTATTCTGTCATGTTCTGCACATCATGGCCATGCTCCATCAAGAGGTGTGTGAACCTCTCTACGTTTTGGCCTTGGAAATCCTCACCTGCTATGAAACCCTGAGCAAGACCAACCCCTCTATTAGCGCCTTACTCCAGAAGGTAAATGAGCAACACTTCCTAAAGTCCATTGCCAAGAACATTACCCCGGAGGAGCGGCGCCAAACCCTGCTGCAGAAGATCAGCAACTTCTGACCTTAATAGATCAGAAAACAGCTGGGCTTCCACTGCACGAGGTCTGTAGGGGTTGGAGCCGAGAAACAAGACTTAGTTATGTGAATGTGTGCACAAACTAAAAAGTATATGGCAATAACAGTGTAAAGAAAATAGTTTCTTGGGTATTTGTAACATACACATTATAATAAAATTCTCATTTTGGGTTTTGTCTTGTCTCTTGAGTCTTTCTCATCAATAGTCTAGGCTTAGATATGCTAAAATTGGGCTCAGCTAGTCTTAAAGATCAAAAACTGGGAGGAACGTGTTCATAATTGGACTTCTCCACCCTAAATTTTGGCAGTAAGTCCAAAGGTGAAACCACCTAAGTGGAAAAGTTGCAAGGCATGTGTGTTCTTTTGCACTGAAACCCTCTTCGAGTCATTTTGTGGTCTCTTGGAGAGGACAGCAATTAGAACGAGAACTTGATTCTGCCACCAGCTGGCCATGTGATTTATGTGCCCAAAAGGCCTGCACCACTGTAAAAGGAGAGGGTTGAGCCAAGAACATTTAGTGCTGGGGTAGATTAAGGACCTCAGGAAAATGATGGCTTCTGAATTGACTCCTGCCATTCAGCCTTAACTCATCCTTTCAGTGGCTCCAGAGGGGCTGTGCTAAAACAAACAGTGTAATTATCTTCTGCCTAGAGTAGAGTCACGGTTTTGAAGAATGAATGGGAGCAGGTAATGGTGCCTGCAGAGGCATAAAAATGCATATTTAAGCTGTCCAGGGCATTTTACAGAACTAGGAGGACTGCTTGGTGAGGCGTTTAACGGAGGCAAGGAAGGGAATAGGAGATACCCCATCACCATATCCATGCCCTCACTCAAAGTTCCCACCCCAACTTCAAGTGGGCTGGCTCTGGGGCCTACAATTGGGATTCACCTAAGAAGAGAAAGCAGGGCCTCAAGTTATGTGACCACTAGGCTTGAATTCTAGGACCCCGCAGTGTACTGGAACCACAAGTCACAGAAACAATGTTAGAGTAAGGTATGAGATGGGCCCTCGTGGAGGCTGAAAGCATCAACACATCCCTCTCCCCTCAATACCCCCCTTTGCCAGTTACATGGATAGGAACACACCTCAGAAACAATACCACACAGCAGCCAGCCAAGTCAGGTCATGGGGTGGGTCTTACGGGAAGTTGGTATTAATGTATTTCACAAATGAGAATAAGTTGGGAAACATTAGTGCAATTTAATCACCACAGGGGTGATTTACACAAGATATACTGACAGTGAACAAAACAATAAAAAATAACATTTTGCATTTTTTAAAATGGCACCCATTAAAGATTGAAATAGTCAAAATCTGAGTCCCTGTTACGTACTCAGTACTTTAGAAGTTAATGGACAACAGAGAATTAAAAGGAATTTAAAAATCTAGCTTTTCACTACCACTTGAAAAATTCATGGTAGCAGTTTCTAAAATCCATCCTAGTTGATAAGGAATGACTAGTTTTGGCACCAGAGAATTGCACTTGCAAATGGTAGTGAAGGAGTCAGTCCACAGGACATACTTTGGCCAGGGCTGTCTTGTACTCTTGCTCCCCAGCCTTCTGTGGCTAATGGTGGGGCACTCACATTGGAACAGGCTTTGGACCACAAGCTCTGGCCTAGGAGGCAGTTGCAATGCAACTTCTCATGGTTTGGAATACAGAAGTCCATTTCCACCTTGTGAAAAGGACAGTATTTAAGAGTGGGGTGACCCAGTAAGTAGCTCGTAGCCATCTTTTCACTGTACCCCTATCATTTTTAACAAGAGCATCCTGTGTGTGTGGATATAGGAAAAGCTGGGCTTGGAAGGACATGCTAAAAAGGGAAAGGGAATAGTATTTGTGACGAGGCTGAAAGCATCAATACAAACTCACAAGTTTGACACTGGTCTTACAAAGTCAGCCTGCAAAGATGCTGACCTATTAGCCTCCCTACCTACTCAAGTGCTTCAGGTTCCTATCCCTGCCTCCTGCCACCCCGAACCCCACTAATGAGACTTCTGATCGGAAGTCAGTAGACATGAGAATTCAATGTTGGCACATAGATGAAAGGATGAGGCAATGGATTATTTAGTAAACAATAAAAAGCTACCTACCCACAATGATTTTCCCAGACCAACATCATAAGAAATTATTTCAAGAACCAAGTCATCACTTGCTTCTGCTGGCCCAGTTCATGTGGATATTGCCCTGAGTGTTTGGAAAGGTGGGTAGCCGCCAATATTAGGGCCAGTTGGGTGCTCAGACACTTATCATACTGGTCCACCTGTCTCCACACACCATGTTTCTACCTCCCCGAGCCCTTGAGATAAGACCCAAGGGAGGATCCTTGGGCTTGCACTAAAACCACCTTGCTGCCAATGGAGGTCTGACAGGATCCAATAGTTGTTACTAAGAAAAAAGTGCTTTTGCAAAAGGGGCAGGTTAGAAGAGGGAGGTAATAGCAATATTCTTTAGGAAAACTCAAAACCCATCTGCTTATCAATACCCAAAAGGCTGAGGCCACCCAGGGCACAATTTGGTCCGTGGAATACTGAGTGGAAGAGGCAGCTAGTGTGAGGAGGCACCCTCACTGCCTGGCTCCTGGGAGCACTTATCCATCCTTTTCAGCTGAGGGAGTGTCAAAGAGCTGGGCTGCCTTCTTGCACAGCAGAGAGAACCAGTAGAGCTGGGGAGCGATGAGGAAGGCATTGGCCACATTGCAGAAGAAAGGGATCCTGGATGGCACTTGGAGCAGGCTTAGTTTCTGCTGATGGCCATAGGACCAGTACATGAAGGGGAAAAGAAGAATCCGACAGGAAAAGAAGGTGGTCAGTGTGAGGATTCCGTTCACCTTGTACAGGAGGGTGTGCTGCTGCTTTAGCTGCAAAAGAAGAAGGAAGGAGAATGCAGAGTCACTGCAAGGTTGGGCCTTTGGGAAATACCAACCCAAGTCTCACAGCAGTCAAGGCTAAACATCTAGCTTTCTGACATTTAGAAAAGTTGATTGAGCATGGGCGTATTTATACACGCATATAGCCTTGTAAAGTTTTCCAACGGTGACGTTGAATTTGACCAGTCACCCAGCTGACAGGAACAGAGGAAGAGAGAAAAATCTATAGCCAGGGGAAAAAAATACTTGAAGGACTGTATCAAATTTGAATCATACAATTTTGTCCTCACTGACTTAGAAGACCAATTGACTTTTAAGTCCGTTCAAGGGTCTCCTATCCCACTATTCCTAGCACTAAAGGATTTCTCCAAACCCACAATCTACCAAGGAAAAGCAGAGTCTGTGCCCCCCACACACACACTGTTTCTGCCATTTCATTCATACGTGCCTGAATCAGAACTTTGCCCAGTGACACAAACGGAGTGCTCAGTTCTGCCATGAAGATGCAGCCAACAAAGAAGTCCCCCAGGTCTCCCCTAAGCCTCTGCAGGTGACAAGAGGAAACAGGAAAATAAGACATGAAGGTTAAGGAACCATTGGAAGGAAAATTCTAACTAGGGCTATTGAAAAGGGTAATCATGAAAGACTATGAAGGGAAAGGGAAATGCTAAACAGGCAAGTGCAGACTCGTTTAATATGCTGCTGCTTCCGTAGCAATGGCAATTGGATGGTCGAATCGCTGGGATCCAGAGGCAACTTCTGATCGGCTGATTGCATCACACACCAAGCTTTCTCTGAATTTCAATGTCAGCCGGAAGGAACTCTGCAGCCTACTTTTGGGTATCTAACTTAGTCATGCCAAGGGCACTTAGCCAGGTCAGTTCAACAAAACATGTGCCAGACCCGGTGTTAGATGTTAGGGAGACTTCTTAAAGAATGTAATATCTTCCTCTCTCTTTTCAAGAAAGCAGTATAGCACAGGATGGCAGCTCTGTCCCGGTACTAGATTGAGCTACGTAAACTCTTGGAGCCCCAGTTTCTTCACCTATGGAATAGAGCTAACAATTTCTAATGTTATTTCTAATAGTTTCTACTGATTAGCAGAAAGCTGTGAGCTTCTAAAATCAAGTGCCTGTCATCTAGCAGGCACTCAAAAATTACTAGTTTCCTCTCTGCATTCCTATCTCTTGCTTGTTGGGTGAAGATTTTATGGGGGGAAATGATCTGGGGAGAAATTATGAGGCTATTTGCTTTCAGAGTCTGCTTTTGTGACATAAAAAAAATAATAATGCATACAGTACTCTCTAACACTGTTAGAATAAATAACCAGTTGACTGAGCAAATAACCAATCTCATTTAAAAAATTTTTATGGCCCTGGCCAGTTTGGCTCAGCGGTTAGAGCGTCGGCCTGCGGTCTGGAGAGACCCGGGTTCGGTTCCCGCTAAGGGCACGTACTTCGGTTGCAGTTTGTCCCCGGCCCTGGTTGGTCGTGCGGGTGGCAGCCACTCGATGTGTCCCTTCACGTCGATGTTTCTCTCTCTCTCTCCCTTCCTCTCTCTCCCTCCCACTCTATCTGTACAAAAAATGGAAAAATATCCTTGGGTGAGGATAAAAAAAAAAAAAAATTTTTATGATGTGCGGCCGGTGTGGCTCAGTAGTTGAGTGTCAACCCATGCACCAAGAGGTCGCCGGTTTGATTCCCGGCCAGGACACATGCCCAGGTTGTGGACCTGATCCCCAGTGCGGGGCATGCAGGAGGTGGCCAGTCGATGTTCTCTCTCATCGATGTTTCTATCTCTCCCTCTCACTTCCTCTCTCTCTAAAATCAATAAAGGAAAAAAAAAATTCTTATGTTGTATTTTATATTGTTTTTATATTATATGAACTAAAGACAGAACCTTTGACAAAGGCTAGGGAATCACAAAGAGCTAGCTAGGAGGTCACGAACAAATATTTCTACACGATGTGCCTGGAGGATGTAACTGCGGAAGCAGCAGGCATGACGAGTGGACAGGGTAGGAACGCTAAGGGAAAGGGGGGCAATCCTGACTCCTAAGCATTGGTCAGGATACCCAGATCAATGGGAGAAATGAGTGACCAAGGCTGCTGCTGGCTATTATCCTGGGAGGCCATACCTGTGCAGTTGGCACAAGGACCAACAGAATGGCCATGTGGTGTGTGATCATGAGGCGGTTTTTACTTAGGAAGTTTCGAAAAATGGTGAGGAAGTATCTGCGGTTCTGTTCTCTGGTTCGGTACCATTCACAGAGGTACATGGCGTAGGTGTCATAGACCATATATGGAATCAAAAACCAGACATATTCTCGGGCAAGCCAGTGCCTGAAAGAAAGCATATGAGTGGTCCATGAAATAATTATGGATATCAATTATTATGAAGGTAGGCTCAAAGCCAACCTCTTGAACACATTTCCTTCAGCTCTGTAGTAATCAGATGTTTTTACTCCAAATACTTTACCACAAAGATGCTGAAGTTGATAGAGTGAACAACTTGCTCTAAATTACTGGGAAAATTTGTGTCAAAGGCAGAAAGCACCATGTGTTTAAGGGACGAGCTGTCACTATTTGTCTGTTTTAACTACTCATTTGTAATGGATTTTCTGGCATTTTGTGATATAAGCTGACTTTGATATAGATATCTCTACCAATGATTCAACAGCCCCACCAAGAAACTGGTTTGGAAGGTGTCCCAAATCCCAATCCAATATTTCCAGTTTAACTCCACTCGTTGCTCAACAGTTGGGAGTTCCCTCTTGCATCTGCTTGTAACCCCACTCTAGGGAGTTGCTGGCAAGCAACCCTGGCCATTTTCTTTACAATTCTATGGCTAATCCCAATTCCACTCATTAAGAAAAATACGTCTGGAAATGAGCCCAGAGCTCAAGGACTACCTTACAGCAGCAGTCATACCAAAAGAGAAGCTGGGACAAAAGACACTGTTCCCATTTACTTCTCCAAAGGGGTTGAATCAATATTTGCTGAGTTGAAATGATAATTTATCACTGTCCTAGAGCAGATTAGAGGGAAAGTCTCTAATTTCTACAATTTTGTTCCCAAATAATAAATGATAATTCTACACAAAATTGATGTAGAAAAAAACATCTAATTTGAAATCACGTCCTTTGCTGGGAAGGATTAGATTCACTAAATAGCAAATCTTTATTGAGCACCATGTGTTAGGTAGAAGAAACAATTTAGTTTTGTGGTTCTCAAACTACCTGAACACCAGAATCACCTGCAGTGCTTGTTAAAGCTCCATGCCCCACCCCCACCCCCACACCCCACCCCCACAAAGGCTCTTAATGGTATATGTATAGCTCTCAAATCTGTATTTGTCTCAGGCGATTTTCTAAGGAGCCATCCACAAAATGCAGCATTAGAAACACACTCTACAGAGGATGCCACTCAAGTTTCTGTTCCTGAATGATTCCACACTTACCACAGAATAACTTAATAATGAATAAACAATGAAACAGGCAAACAAGTAAGGATGGAAAATGTAATATACATGCAGGTAAACTAGGCAAATTCCATTTAGGCAAAAAGATGCAATATTTATTCTATTGCCCATCTGTGGTTTCCATTGCTTTCTTAAAGCAATTCCACGTTAAATAACAATAAAGAGCTATTAAAAGCTGAACTGGAATATAACTGGCCTCTCCCCTTGAGTGGAGCCTAGCATTTTAATATTTTGCACACAGTACCAATTCAATAAATTCTAAAATTGTGGCTGCTTGGTAGAATTCTCTCAAGATTTATTAGCAAGAGATCTAGACTGCATTCGTAACTACCACTTGCCTGGGACTTAGCTTTCTTGATAAAATGAAGATAACAATCCTTGTCTTACTTCCCTGACCAAGTTATTGTAAAGATTAACAAACTAAAAGTGTGAAAGTCCTTTTAAATGCCAAATATAAGTGCTTAAACTGAGAAAACCGCCCAGAGCTGTGACTCTCAGCCCTTTTAGGGATCTGGAAGACCTCCTTAAGAATCAGATTAAATCCTTGGCTCCATATCACATTCTGCATATAAATTGGGGGAATTTATAGATGCCCCCTATCTATAGACAGTCTACATGAAGACATAAAGTGAAAAAGTATGTAATACAAAAATATTTGGGTGTATAGGATATGAGCCCCAAAAGGCTTTTTTTTTAGGTGATCTAGGTGCTGTTAGAGCATCCTTGTGCATCCATGTGAAGGTGAAGGGCACAGAAAGTGTCTGTCTCCATTTTACAAGCAGAGAATCTAAAGGCATAAAGAGACACAAAAGGAGGAATCTGAAAACCAAATTCAGGTTTCTTACCCTGCTCAAGCCACTAAAATACCACTTCTATGGGGAAAACACAACAGTGGTGCTACAAAATTGAAAGTTAATTATGCGCAAATATCTTTTTCTACAATGTGTAGTGGTTGCCTGCTGCTTGCTCTCCTGTCAGCTGAAGATAGTGCTGTGCCACATGTGTCCTAATCTTTGCAAAAAGGCTGGTTTCAAGGTTGGTCTGACAAACTGGGTGGGGGCAGTGAGGGAGCTTGCCACATAATCAAAAATCGCTCAAGCCCTGGCCGGTTTGGCTCAGCGGTTAGAGCGTCGGCCTGCGGTCCGGAGAGACCCGGGTTCGGTTCCCGCTAAGGGCACGTACTTCGGTTGCAGTTTGTCCCCGGCCCTGGTTGGTCGTGCGGGTGGCAGCCACTCGATGTGTCCCTTCACGTCGATGTTTCTCTCTCTCTCCCTTCCTCTCTCTCCCTCCCACTCTATCTGTACAAAAAATGGAAAAATATCCTCGGGTGAGGATAAAAACAAACAAACAAACAAAAAAAAACCGCTCAAAATAAAAATCAAACCCAGCCAAGCAATTGCTGTTAGCCTTTGGCATATGCAATCAAAGTCACCTGACCTGTCTTAGCTTAGCATCTACAATTCATCACCAAGAAAAGCAAAAAAATCACGATGGCAGCATTAATCCCCAGTAATATCCAGGCACTACATTTGCAGGCCAGTGAGACAGATACTCCGCTTAGGCTCTCCTCACACCACAGTCTCAACAGGTGAAAAGAGGGACACTTTGTAGAATCAAGATGAGAAAAGGATCAGGACCAGACATTCCCTGTGTGTTGACTGTCGCTCTTCAACTAAACTGGGAGAAAATAAGAGTGGTTCTAAGAAGACAGGTGGAAAAATAAAGGCTGCACACACAAAACACCATCATTGCCCAGGTCTAAATACCATACAAAGTAGACCACCCTGGTCTTTGTGATTCCTTTCACTAGATGCACATTTCCTGACCTGCCTCTGGACTGAGCTCTAACACACATGCAAGTCAGTTTTCTGTAAGCACCTGAAACCTCTTCACCGGCTTTAGCAAATTCAGAGGAAAAACAAGAGCAGCATTTGTAAGGCTCGGCTAACCACACTGCACATATCTTGACCAATGAGTGCTCCAGAAAAGGACCCCAGTGAGATCACTTAAAAAAACCAAACACTCTCACTTCTGAATCATTTTCAAAGGCATCTATCTCATAAATAACTTGGATCAATGGACCACAGTGTCTTCTCACAAGCTGTCTTAAACCAGGCTTAGACTCTGTCATTCTCTAGCCTTTCCTCAGTTTACTTTCTCCGAAGGTGGCCATGCAGAAAGAGGTATGAAGAGGAGATAGGAACTAATTATGGTGTCCAAGTTTTCCCATTAATCGTCTATCCAACAGCATGTGCTGATAAAGAACTAGTGTCTGTGAGCCACTAAAACGTGCAAACTTAGAGAAAGTTCAGCGCTGATATTTGTACTACTTTCACCTGGCATTGGATGTTACCTGTCGGAGACCACGTTTTTACAGTAGCAGACGATGACGATCCCCGACCCGGTGGCCAACACAGCCTGCACGGAAGAAACCAGCCTAATGTGCGGCAGAAAAGAAAAAAAAAAGGGGGGGGGGGAGCGCGCTTCATCCAGTCCTGTGGACAACATAAAGGCAAAACTCCTCAACCTGACTTTCCCCCTAGGCTGCCCGCGCCCGGAGGGAAGTGGCAGGGCCAACCTCGCGCTCCAGACCCCAGGGCAGCTGGCAGATGTGCAGCAGGCTTCCCTCCCCATCCTGACCGGCGTGGGCAGCCAGCCCTCCATCCTGCTTCCTTCTCCCTCCAGGACAGGACGCACAGACTCTTCCCAGAGCCCTGGCCAGCGCCGCCGAGAGGGGCGAGGAACGAGGGAGGCACCCCCTCGCTTCCTGTAGCCCCCCCTCCCCCTTTCGCCCTCCCTGGGCGCAGGGGCGGGCGCAGGCGGGTCCGGGCAGCCCGCGCGCGGCCGGGTGGGGCGGGCGGCGCCGGCCTCGCCGCGTACCTGGTGCTGATCATCACGCAGTCGTAGCCGGTCCATTCGGGCCGCGCGCGGCGCAGCCCCCAGGTGCAGAGCGCGAAGAGCCCGGGGAAGAAGAGTGAGCCCCAGGCCAGCGTCAGCAGCATGGGTGCTCAGGGCTCGGCGCCTCGCTCGGCGCCCTCGGCGTGACTCAGGTCGGCTCTGCTCGGCTCCGGGACTGCCGCGGCCCGCCCGCCCCTATTTCTACCCGCCACCCGCCACCCCGCCCCGGCCGGCCTGCCGCGACTCCGGCAGCCCCGGGGCGCTGGCCCCGCGCCCGCACCGCCGCTTTCCGCGTGACCAGGCCGGCGGCCGCGATAGGCGCGGGTCGGCGGGCCGGGGCGGGGTCTCGCCGCCACCGCCCCTGGGCCCCGAGGCTTCCGAGGCTTCCCCCGGCCGGCCTGCGAGCGGACCGCGGGGGCGAGCTGCTGCCCGGGCGGGGGCCGGCGTGCGCGGGCCGGGGGTTCCGAGAGCGCCGACGCTGCTTCCCGGACCAGCCGCCGCCGGTGGCCGCCCCGGTGGTGGGAAGAGCCCAGGTTCTAGGGGCTTCGGTGCCGTCCCCGCGCGAGCTCTCCCCTCCCTCCCGGACCAGCCTGACTGACGAAGTGCCCGCACCTGCCACAGCCCTCTCCTCCCAGCTCCAGGAGAAGGGGACGGGGTGGGGGCGGGGCCCTAGCCAGCCAGGTAGGAAAATGCTCTCAGTGGGAACGCCCTGCCGCCCGGGTGGGACCAGCCCTCCAGGCCAGGGCACTGCCCCGTGCGATTGGTGCGGTGGGCATCCCTCTTTGGGGGAAGGAAGGAAAGGGTGGGTGAGCGTGTGGCTATCTGCTTATCTGTGGCCTGGCTTATCAACTACCATGCACTCTTGCTTCCAAATAGAAGTCTGAAGGATATGGTCTTCCTCCAGGCCAAAGAAGGTTTTCCAGTGTCCTGCCAACTGCTGCAATTTCTCCAGAGGGGATTGCTCCTAACAACATTAAGTCCTGCCACAGAATCCAGCTGTTCCTCTTTCAATGTACACATCGAAGTGGAATATCTCGTCTGCAGACTTTCTGTGGTACTGCCGTACTGCCTCTCTTGGCTTTGGGTCAAGGTACTACCCATCTTGGTGACTGTTCTGTTGTTGTTGACAACGGCTCTTATTTAAAAGTTCCGGGCCAGGTGCCCTAAATTCGAGTGGATTGGAATCTGATTCACTTTCATTCAGCACCAATTACGTGGGCCAATAGAGTGACTTCAGTATTACTGGCTTCTCTTCCTCTTAGAGAGACGCTTTGGTGTATCTTTCTCAGCTAATGTGGGGAGAAATACAATTCATTTATGTCTACTGCGACTGAACAGCAGTATATGGGTCTCTTCAAATCATCCTCATGCAAAATGCTAACAAAAGCCGCATGGCTCTGTCTGGAACAAACTTGCTCAGCCTCTCTGGGTCACTCTTTCCTCCTTTGTGACATGAAGAGGATGAATTACAAGCTCTTTAAGGCTCTTCCAGCTCTAAATCCATAAGATCACATGACTTATAAAATAACACATGATTTCTGTTTGATGCTAATTAAATTCCTCTAGTATGGCAGTTACTGATATAGAAACAGATGCAGAATAAACACAGCTTTTAACATCTTCCTATATGTTGTTCAGATAATAGATTTAGCCAATATTTAGGAAGCAGAAAGCCCAAAGAAAACTGTAAAATTTCTTTTACTTAGGGCAACATTTCGAACTCCCAAATTCCCTGCTAACATACTTGGTGAAATGAGAATGACACTTTAGTTTGGTAGCAAGGTATCTAGCCAATACAAAGCTTACTGCATTTTTATATTTGCATGTGGACAAAGGACAGCTATCTGTAAACTTTCCATCCTCTCCAGAGGAACAAATCCTTGTGCATTCCACTTTTTATTCCTCCCCAATTTATCCCAGTCACCCCAACTTTTCCAGAGACAAGTGGTTACAAGTCCTTCCTGCCTTCTCTCCTTAATGGGATCCACAAAATATATCAAGGATGCTAACATTTTTAAGTGGCAGTAACCAATCTATACCCTATGCAAAAGTTGTTTGTACAGCTCTTAAGGAGTCTATGAAATGAAAACAAAACAGATGTCTCATGTATAGAAGACAGCAAGTAAAATGAGTTTCTAACACCATGCTCATGAAGTCACCAGAATGTTTAGATCAAATCACCAGAAAGCCAACAAGCATAAACATGAGTCTTGACTTTTCAAGGGATGAAACCCTGTGGACAAATGATAAAGTCAAATAAAAAGCACCAAGCCTTTTCGATACAAACTTCTACTTAACCTTCAGAAGTCTTGAGTCAAGTGCTTCCTCTTCAAAGAAAGTTTCTATTTACCTGTTCCTCCAGACAGGTGTATAAATTCATTTTCTACCCTGTCTTTGCATTTGAGTAGTAAGCATGTTGTTTTTTTTTATTTTGTATGTATGTTTCCCCACCAAACTGTTAACTCTTTGGAACAGGACCATGTCTTTTCATTTTGTTTCCCAAGTTAGGCCTAGCACATGGCAAGTGCTCAAGAAATGTTTGATAGAATTGTTGTTAGTCCTCACTCCAGGATATTTTTTCCACTGATTTTTAGAGAGAGCAGAAGGTAGGCGGGGGAGAGAGAGAGAGAAAGAGAAACATTGATGTGAGAGAGATATATCGATTGGTTGCCTCCCGCATGACCCCGACCGGGGCCAGGGATCAAATCTGCAACCCAGGTACGTGCCCTTGACAGGAAATGGAACCCAAAACCCTTCGGTCCTTGGGAAGGCACTCTAACCGCTGGGGCCACAGCAGCCAGGGCAGGTTTGATACTTTTAAAAGCTAATGTTTATTGAGTACTTACTATGCCAGGCACTATATCAAACATTTTGCATTATCTTATTGATAATACATATCTTATGTATTATCTTATTGGTCTTCATGAAGAATCAATTATCCGCCCTGGCTGGTTTGGCTCAGCGGTTAGAGCGATGGCCTGAAGTCCAGAGAGACCTGGGTTCAGTTCCCACTAAGGGCATGTACCTCGGTTGCAGTTTGTCCCCGGCCCTGGTTGGGTCGTGGGTGGCAACCACTCGATGTGTCCCTTTTACGTCGATGTTTCTCTCTCTATCTCCCTCTCTCTCCCTCCTGCTCTATCTGAACCAAAAAAATGGATAAATGTCCTCAGGTGAGGATTAAAAAAAAAAAAGAATCTATTATCCTCATTGTGTGTGTATGACCCAGAGTAATTAAAATATTGTCCAAAGTCACACTGCAGAGTTGGGATTTGAATTCAGTACTTTCTGTCTTCAAGGTCAATCTGATTAATGATTATACTGCCTTCAAACTTTATAAGCAATGTAAGAATCATTCTGTTTCACAGTGTAGCTTCTGATTAATAACCATGGTTTCTAATTGTTTACTCACAAATATAAATATGTGGGTGAAGTTTATGGGCTCTGATGCTGCTGTTATTAGCACCATTACATATATATATGTATGTATATATTTTTTATATACACACACACCCCTTTATAATTAAAAAAATTTTTTTTCTTTATTGATTTTAGATAGAGAGGGAGAGGGAAAAAGAGAGAGAAACATCGATGAGAGAGAACATCGATTGGCTGCCTCCTGCACGGCCCCACTGGGCATTTGACCCACAACCTGGGCATGTGCCCTGAATGGGAATTGAACTGCCAACCTCTTGGTGCATGGGTCGATGCTCAACCACTGAGCCACACTGGCCGGGCTACCTTTATAATTTTTTGAAGCATTTTTACATATATTATCTCACTTGGTTCTCAAAATAACTCAGTAAGGTAGGTGGACATACTATTTTCATTTTATAAATGAAGAAACTTTGGTGAGAATGGTAAACTGACTCCCCCTCCTATAAAGTGGCCAGTCTCAAGTAAGAACCTGGTGCTTCTAATTCATGTTCCAGGGTGATTTCAACTACTTCATGCTGTAGGGTTGGGATTTAAGGAGTTTTTAATTATGCTTCTTGTGCAGGTTTCAAGAGTAAAGTTGGGATTACTAGATGTTAGGATAAGGCTCATTTACCAAATCCGATCCTCACCCCTTGAACAGCAATCTATAAAGCTCCTAGTCTTGGAGGACTGTGGCAAGATTTCTCAGTGGTTTCTTTTGCCACTGAGGTATATGATCCTACTTTATTATTATTTTTTTAATCCTCACCCAAGAATATGTTTAAATTGATTTTGAGAGAGAGAGAGAAACATCAAAGTGGGAGAAACAAAGACTGGTTGCCTCCCGTATAAGCCCTGACTGGGGATCGAACCTGCAACCTAGGGATGTGCCCTGACTGAGAACCAAACCTACAGCCTTTTGGTGCAGGGGATGATGCTCCAACCAACTGAGTCACTCAGTCGGGGCTATGATCCTACTTTTTGGTACTCTTCCCCATCCCTCTCATTACTTTAGGCCCCAACCTGGGAATCACTGGGGGACAGGATGCAAGACTCTCCCCGTGTCTGCTCCCTGGTTTTCCAGCCTTAAACTGAAAATACCGCCCTGGCCGGTTTGGCTCAGCGGTTAGAGCGTCGGCCTGCGGTCCAGAGAGACCTGGGTTCGGTTCCCGCTAAGGGCATGTACCTCGGTTGCAGTTCGTCCCCAGCCCTGGTTGGTCGTGCGGGTGGCAGCCACTCGATGTGTCCCTTTCACATCGACGTTTCTCTCTCTCTCTCGTCCTCTCTCTCCCTCCTACTCTATCTGAACAAAAAATGGAAAAATGTCCTCGGGTGAAGATAAAAAAAAAAAACAAAACTGAAAATACCATATTAACTTTGAAAATATTCAAGTAAATGTTATTGAAGTAAGTAATGTGTGGGCTGCTACCCTCGATCAAGGATATTTTCTTATCCAGAGAAATGATTCTACACTATTTAGGAAAAATCATTGGGATTTACACATGCAACACCTCTATATTGAGTTCCAGAACTGGAAGAGAACTTGAAGGTCTCCATCCACTCATCCACTTAAGTCATAACAGGCCCTAGCACAGGAAAATAAACATAGAGATACAGATAGAGATATGTAGGAAATTGACATACAGGAAGTAATCAACACTAAACAAGAGGAAAAGACAGGTAAAATGAGGCCTACACAGAGAAAGGAAGTGACGGACGCCTTCTGTGGAACATCCTTCCCTC